ATCCCAGCATGCTACAGGCCCAATATCAGTACCCTGGGCCTTTTGGTTATTGAGAAGAAGTTGTTTGAAGATTTTAACATATTTGATCCCTGTGACTTTGAAAGTGGGTCAAGGTCATTTATTTGAACAAACTTGGTAGCCCTTGATCCCAGCATGCTACTGGCCAAATATCATCTTCCTAGGCCTTTTGGTTATTGAGAAGAAGTTGTTTAAAGCAAAAAGTTGACGCCGGACAGACGGACGACGGATGCCGCACCATAACATAAGCTCACTTGCCCTTCGGGCAGGTGAGCTAAAAATCAAACTTAAACATCAGGGTACTCAGTAACATAATTTATCTTACTGGTATATTAAATGTGAAAAACTATGACCATAAAAAATACATAAACTTCATATAAAGTGTTCCTTCTTTGCATTTTACTTTAATGTTGTTATAAAAAAGCTAGATAGGTTATAAACATTATCATTCTTTTCAGTTTAAATGTTTGAAAGTTCATTTATCAAGGTTTCTTCTTATTTATAAGATTAATTACCCGGGGATTTTACTAGGATTTAAGTGGTTCGCATGGCAACATCTGTCTTGATTTGGTTTCATCTCAACAGTGAATAGAGGAGAAATGAAGCTACGCATGACCTAGGTACAACGTATATAAATAAACTTTAAATTATATGTCATTTCTTAGCACGCAGTTGGGTCAAAAATGAGAATGACATGTTAAAAGTCTGGTGAGCTATTTTTATGAAGACACCAGCTTAAATGCCTTATTTTCGACTACTTTAACCTATATTAATAGCTAGCTATGTATTTTTTTAATAGCCAATGTACAAGTTCAGAATATTCAAATTGCACATATAAGTTTCGGTTTAAAGAGAGGTCTCTAAATACCACTTATCAGGGGTTGACATTTAGGGTGACTACTAGTACAACATCTATCAGGGGCTTGTTGAACCTTATAAGCATATTTTAGCCAGAAATAGCTATCCTCTTTGAAATAAGGGTTAATGGGGCTACATTAAAAAATGGAGATAGGTGATTTTGGACTATTTGAGTATTTCCATTTATATATTATCCCCCACATGCACATTTGACCTGAATTTGCTATTTTTCTTCATACAATATAATTTAATATAACTACCATGTTTCTTATTGGCAGCACTTTAAAAAAAAAAATGAATAATTAAACTTTGGCAGATCAGAGACATATAAAGCCAGTAAAGTAGTACCAGGTTATATACATCTCTGGGCAGATAAACTTTATTACAATTATAGGGCATCTGTAATTAACAATGAACTTTTAACTTTATAAATTATATTATACAATTGTTTAAATTTGAGTCCAGTGAGGAGCTCTACAGTATCGGCTCTGTATTGGAAACTAACTTCAACTTTAAAACGCCCCATTCACATTCACTGCCAGTTTATTTCAATTCGAGTCCTTCACTGTGAGCTAGGGTCAAAATCAACAAACAACTAATCTTATGAAAGAAATTGCAATAATCAATCATTCGATTATTTACGCAAAATCATGATATTTAAACAGGATGTTACTCCTACTTAACACGAACGTGATCTTCTGTCCGAATTTTGCAATCAGGCATTGCCGCAATATGTATGGTAAACAATTACGAGGCCTTCAATCGATAAATGTTGAACCGTGCCCCTGTGCCTGTGATGTGAAAGTTTTCTGAAGAGCAGAATTATTTCACTCAAATTTCAACATTGAACTTTCTTTTCATATCTCACCTCATACGTTTGTATTTAATGTCGATTCCATCTTCTATGTTGCTTTTTGTTCATGATATAATCGGATGAAATGAATTAATAAAACTTTGTTTATTTTGCAGACGTTTCGACTTTGAACAACGCGCCTTCACTCGGAACACTTCTACGATAATTCCGAATGTTTAAAGGGGAAAAACTCCGTAAGAATTGAGGTAACATGCAATTAAATATATCATTCGCAGTAAGCTGTAATCTCTCAGCGTTCAAACAATTTGAATAAACTTACCTAACCATAAAACATTTCATTTATTCAACAAAAATGCTCTGAAAAGGGAAAGGTTTTTAAATTTGACCATGTCTAATTTCTCTAACTTATATATATTTTTTATTTTAATATCAGATTTTCCGCATAATAAAATTCCCCATAAGTTCACATATATAATTTACGTAAAAAAATGTCAGAAATCATAGTATCAAATGGGGAAAATGCAGACTTCTGCATTTCATATGAAACAAGAGTACCGCAGGCCGGAACAAAATACGCCTGTCGAATGCCATATAGTGTTATACTTTCTTACATTGAAATAAGATCTGCATCATTCTAAGAGTGGTTAGCAGATATGCTATACAAAAAATGTAGGAGAAAATCTTCGGACAAAACATCAAATTACTGAAATGAACAAAAAGGCAATAACTTTTGCAAAAATCGTCAAATCTTAATTCTTTTAAGGGAGACTTCTTTTAAGGGAGACACATTAACTTCATATCATGATTATAATGTAATACAATTACTGTGCTCAACAAATGTAAAAGAACTAACCAGGTTTAGCAAATATATATATGATGCCACTAAATTGAGGAAGACTATGATATAATGACATTTAAACGTGTCAAATCTTTTGTCCATTCTCCACTGCGTTTTGCAGTGTCTGCCAATGTATTTATATTGTTACATGTACACTGATGAGCAGGAAAGCTTAAAGTTAATAAAGAATGAATACCAAGTTTCAAATAGATCCTTGGCCCAGGGATTCACTTAAATACACACATATATATATATGCTAAGTTCTTAAATATTTACTCCCATTTCCCCTGTGGGGACCTGATTCTCTATCAGCTAGTATAGATACACACCTTTTTATACAACAATAAGTCCTCTTGGTTTAGAAACCTTTAGTATGGAATAAGAAACATGAACCCGTCTAATAGGCCCCATCTGTCTGCCCCAAAGGGAGCCACAACTTTGTTTAGGTATATTTATAAACACTGAGTTTTCTTGGACCATTGATCTTTTTACATTAAAATAGTCAAGCTCCCTTCACCTGTACTGAAGGGATCATACGCCTTATAAAGAAATGAAAATTACCTCTAGAACCAAACCCTCTGTGTCTAATATGAAATTTGAAAACAGTCTTTTCTAAACCTTTGCTGCCATGCCATTTCATGCAGTCATAGATCAGTATCAACGTTTCAAATGGGACAGTTATAACTAGAACTGTAAGGCAAAGGCTAACTAATACCCCCGCTGCTATATAAACCAGAACTGTAAGTTTAAGGCTTACTAAGGTAAAGCATTGCAAAGCAATCCATAGTCTCCCACCAGTAACAAGTATTTCGCACAAAAGGGCATACCTGTCCATCAAAAAGGGTCTAAATTCCAAATTAAAATGCCGGTGCACAACTACATAAGTTACCGATCATTCATGCAAAGTTTCAATGAAATCAACCTGTTAGTTAAGGAGGAGTTGTGCGGACAAGTATTATCGATATCTTATGTAGTTGCACACCAGCATTTTAATTTGGAATTTCCAACCTTTTTGATGGAGTTATGCCACTTTGTGCATAATACTTGTCAGCACAACTACTCCTTAACTAACAGGTGGATTTCATTGAGTCTCTTTGGATTGCATGAATGTATCGATATCTTATGTATTTGTGCACCGGCATTTTAATTTGGGATTTCGACCCTTTTTGATGGAGTTATGCCCCTTTGTGCGAAATTCATGACAAGTAATACTTGAAGTATTTCCAGGTTTCCCTTGGCCTTAATTGTGTAAAGATATTTGTGTACATACATTTACTGTAGTTTCTTTGTTTCCCTTGTTCCTTGGTTCTGTAAACCCCCAGTATACCCAGTATTGTGTACATTCTTTGTTTCCCTTGTTCCTTGGTTCTGTAAACCCCCAGTATACTCAGTATTGTGTACATTGAAGTTACTTTATTAACTTAGCTTATATAAGTAAAGTAAAAAGATATACGAGTAAATGAGTGCAGTTTCTTAGTTTTATTGTTCCTAGATTCTGTTAAGATACATTTGTTTTGATGTTTTCAGCCACACCTTCCTGTAAAACAATGCAGTAAGAAATTACCATGCTAAGGCATTATCATTGGCCTAATTTCTGTTACAGCATGAAATAATGAACACTCTACTTTTCTGTAAACTCCATGTACTTCACTGTATTTCTCTGTAATCATCTCGCAATAAAAAGTACAGACCCTATATTTCTCAGTAAACCTTTGCATAATATTAGGACAATGTTTTGAAGGAAAATATGATCATTGTGAATGATATTTTGTACTTTTTGATAAAGTAATTAATTAGTTTCAACTGTTTCTAGGTTCTGTTAAGATAATTTGCACATTTAGTTAGTATAGTTCCACTTTCTTTGTTTTTCATTCTGTAAACATTCTTCAAATTTTGGTTATACATTGTTTGTATTTTGGATAAAAATTTGGTGGTACTACGCATTATTTAAAAAAAAAATATGATTCAGTTGTAAAAGGCTAAATCATTCTATATCGATAATAAAGTTTTATTTCATAAACATGTGGATATTATTTCAGTTCACAGAGGAGATGGAGCAGCTGTAGAGGCAATTTTTAACATAGCGTCAATGTCTACAAGTTTCTCTCTTGGTTTTCCACAATTTTGGCCTCTTTCCACTTCAGCTTCATCTATTTTCATCCAGTCAGAAAAACTCACAACCTGCACCCCTGAAATGTCAAAAATATATATATTAAGCAGTTAATGACATCTGCTGCATCACTTGGTCAACATAAGATTACTCTCCCCTTCTTTAGCACTGTTTCTATTGTTCTGTAATGTACATGAAGATGTCAATAAATTGGAGAAGTCTCGTAATGTTTCTTATCCTGCTTGCATGATACATGTATTTATAAACGTATTGTTCTCTACAAGTAGAATGCTACATTAGGTTGGACTCATTTGTGACATACTTAGGAGTCTTTAACAGGTGATAAAGCATTTTTTTATGAAGAATATATCCTGTATATGAAATGGTTATTTTCATTGTATTAGGTAATACCATAAATAGTACTTCAAACCAATAGCGAGAAAACTGCTTTTAATACGCCATTCAAAGAGGTATTCAAATTCAAAATTGAAAGAAATGCTCTGAACAAAGTGTCACATGGATGGGTGGACTGACAGACAAGTAGAGAACAATGGTCCCCCTCCCTTGTTGTATCACCAGGGGATTCACTGACAGAAGAGTAGAGAACAATAGTCCCCCTCCCCCGTAGTATCACCAGGGGATTCACTGACAGAAGAGTAGAGAACAATAGTCCCCCTCCTTTGTAGTATCACCAGGAGATTGACTGACAGACAAGTAGCGAACAATGGTCCCCCTCCCTTGTAGTATCACGAGGGGATTCACTGACAGAAGAGTAGAGAACAATAGTCCCCCTCCCCCGTAGTATCACCAGGGGATTCACTGATAGACGGGATTAACTGACAGACAAGTAGAGAACAATGGACCCCCTCCCTTGTAGTATCACCAGGCGATTCACTGACAGACGAGAAGAGAACAATAGTCCCCCTCCTTTGTAGTATCACTAGGAGATTGACTGACAGACAAGTAGAGAACAAAGGCCCCCCTCCCTTGTAGTATCACCAGGAGATTCACTGACAGACGAGTAGAGAACAATAGTCCCCCTCCTTTGTAGTATCACTAGGAGATTGACTGACAGACAAGTAGCGAACAATGGTCCCCCTCCCTTGTAGTATCACCAGGGGATTCACTGACAGACGAGTAGAGAACAATAGTCCCCCTCCTTTGTAGTATCACCAGGAGATTGACTGACAGACAAGTAGAGAACAATGGTCCCCCTCCCTTGTAGTATCACCAGGGGATTCACTGATAGACGGGATTCACTGACAGACAAGTAGAGAACAATGGTCCCCCTCACTTGTAGTATCACCAGGGGATTCACTGATAGACGGGATGCACTGACAGACAAGTAGAGAACAATGGGCCCCCTCCCTTGTAGTATCACCAGGAGATTCACTGACAGACGAGTAGAGAACAATGGGCCCACTCCCTTGTAGTATCACCAGGCGATTGACTGACAGATAAATCTATCTTGTAGTATCACCAGGGGATTCACTGCCAGACGAGTAGAGAACAATGGTCCCCCTCCTTTGTAGTATCACCAGGAGATTGACTGACAGACAAGTAGAGAACAATGGTCACCCTCCCTTGTAGTATCACCAGGGGATTTACTGACCGATAAGTAGAGAACAATGGTCCCCCTCCCTTGGAGTATCCCCAGGGGATTCACTGACAGACGAGTAGGATCACCAGGGGGTGGACTGACAGACGAGTAGAGAACAATAGTCCCCCTCCTTTGTAGTATCACCAGGAGATTGACTGACAGACAAGTAGCGAACAATGGTCCCCCTCCCTTGTAGTATCCCCAGGGGATTGACTGACAGACAAGTAGAGAACAATGGTCCCTTTCCCTTGTAGTATCACCAGGGGATTCACTGCCAGACGAGTAGAGAACAATGGTCCCCCTCGCTTGTAGTATCACCAGGGGGTGGACTGACAGACAAGTAGAGAACAATCGACCCACTCCCTTGTAGTATCACCAGGCGATTGACTGACAGATAAATCTATCTTGTAGTATCACCAGGGGATTCACTGATAGACGGGATGCACTGACAGACAAGTAGAGAACAATGGGCCCCCTCCCTTGTAGTATCACCAGGAGATTGACTGACAGACAAGTAGCGAACAATGGTCCCCCTCCCTTGTAGTAGCACCAGGGGATTCACTGACAGACGAGTAGATAACAATGGTCCCCCTCCCTTGTAGTATCCCCAGGGGATTGACTGACAGACAAGTAGAGAACAATGGGCCCCCTCCCTTGTAGTATCACCAGGGGAGTCACTGATAGACGGGATTCACTGACAGACAAGCAGAGAACAATGGTCCCCCTCCCTTGTACTATCACCAGGGGATTGACTGACAGACAAGTAGAGAACAATGGTCCCTTTCCCTTGTAGTATCACCAGGGGATTCACTGTCAGACGGGTAGAGAACAATGGTCCCCCTCCCTTGTTGTATCACCAGGGGATTCACTGACCGACGAGGAGAGAACAATGGTCCCCCTCCCTTGTACTATCACCAGGGGATTGACTGACAGACAAGTAGAGAACAATGGTCCCTCTCCCTTGTAGTATCACCAGGGGATTCCCTGACAGACGAGTAGAGAACAATGGTCTCCCTCCCTTGTAGTATCACCAGGGGATTCCCTGACAGACGAGTAGAGAACAATGGTCTCCCTCCCTTGTAGTATCTCCAGGGGATTCACTGACAGACGAGTAGATAACAATGGTCCCCCTCCCTTGTAGTATCCCCAGGGGATTGACTGACAGACAAGTAGAGAACAATGGGCCCCCTCCCTTGTAGTATCACCAGGGGCTTCATTGACAGACGAGTAGAGAACAATGGTCCCACTCCCTTGTAGTATCACCAGGCGATTGACTGACAGATAAATCTATACCCTGTTCCATAAGTTCTCATAATGATGAGTGGGGATTCACTGACAGACGAGTAGAGAACAATGGTCTCCCTCCCTTGTAGTATCTCCAGGGGATTCACTGACAGACAAGTAGTGAACAATGGTCCCCCTCCATTGTAGTATCACCAGGGGATTCACTGACAGCCGAGTAGAGAACAATAGTCCCCCTCCTTTGTAGTATCACCAGGGGATTCACTGACAGACGAGTAGAGAACAATGGTCCCTTTCTTTTAGTATCACCAGGGGATTCACTGACAGACGAGTAGAGAACAATGGTCCCCCTCCCTTGTAGTATCACCAGGCGATTGACTGACAGATAAATCTATACCCTATTCCATAAGTTCTCATAATGATGAGTGTACTGAATGATTAAGTGCAAACTTATAGGCTCCATACTGTTATTTCTTCGTTTGAAAAAAAATAAAAATTGTAGCTTTGTGAGGGGTCAGTCAGGTACAAATTGACAAACATACCTGATTTCTGTAGCAGAGGCAGTATATCATTCTTGCCCTGTTTCCCTGACAACTCTAGTGTCCCATTAGATATGTCGTGGATGATGGTCTTGCCAGTTTCAAAGCCATTTGTCATTGTAGTTAGGATGACTCCAACAGGACCGGTGTTCACCCATCCACTACAGTAAACACCTAAATATAAAATACACACAGTTCCATTTCTCACCATCACATCCAATTTATACCTACACATATAATTACACATATAATACTCACAGTTAAAACACAGTACAATCCTACAGTAAGTTCTCAATATTAACTCACTATTAAGTTCCTCAAATCTGCCCTGTGTGCAAGAGATCATTTTCTCCCATACTTGCCTGTTAAAGACAGGAATTGGCCCATGAAACCTACACGCGCTATGACGACACAACACTATGACGTCACTCCAACAGTGATTAACTGATGAATGGAACTACTGCCGCCAGGCAAGTCCGCCAACTACGTTGGGGATTGAAATAGTTTCGTTGTTTTGACTGTTAAATTTACAGTAGTTTTGTACTTATTATAAGATATATTATTTGATATATATCAATTGTTGAATTATTAAATAAAATATTGCTAACGTTTTGCTTTAAATGGATTTCTGATTTTATGTTCAAGGTTCATCACCCCTATAGAATTAACACAATTGTGTTCATGGGCTTCATGGAATACAAGCATATGAAGGTCACAGAGTAATGGCACTGGCATTTTTATTTCCAGTATGGGAGAAAAAGAATCAAACATGGGTATGGTCTGTGAACAGGGAAAACTCAACCTTCGCGTAAAAGTTTGGCTGTCGTGCTTTGGCAAGACAGCCAAACTCTTATCCTCGGGTTGAGATTTTCCCTGTCCACGGTCACACCCATGTAAGATTGTATTACTCTCATTACAGTGCGTAAATGATAGAAATGTCCAGGGTAAGAAAGAGGTACACACAATTTCTGTCTAACACCCCCATTTCATGTGCATGACATCACAATTGTACAACAATGACATGACGTCACAAAATTGGGAACATTCCGATGCTGAAATTCTAATGCCTTTTGGTAATTTCTGAGCTAATGGTTGAGATTGTTTACTCAACAATAAGTCCATCAACTCGACCCTGTGTGTGAGAGACCACCCATTCATTATGTTTACTCACCAATAAGTCCATCAAATCTGTCCTGTGTGTGAGAGACCACCCATTCATCATGTTTACTCACCAATAAGTCCATCAAATCTGCCCTGTGTGTGAGAGACCACCCATTCATCATGTTTCCTCACCAATAAGTCCATCAACTCTGCCCTGTGTGTGAGAGACCCCCTATTCATTATGTTTACTCACCAATAAGTCCATCAAATCTGTCCTGTGTGTGAGAGACCACCCATTCATCATGTTTCCTCACCAATAAGTCCATCAACTCTGCCCTGTGTGTGAGAGTCCACCCATTCAGCATGTTTACTCACCAATAAGTCCATCAACTCTGCCCTGTGTGAGAGACCACCCGTTCATCATGTTTACTCACCAATAAGTCCATCAACTCTCCCCTGTGTGTGAGAGACCACCCATTCATCATGTTTACTCACCAATAAGTCCATCATATCTGCCCTGTGTGTGAGAGACCACCCATTCATCATGTTTACTCACCAATAAGTCCATCAAATCTGCCCTGTGTGTGAGAGACCACCCATTCATCATGTTTCCTCACCAATAAGTCCATCAACTCTGCCCTGTGTGTGAGAGACCACCCATCCAGCATGTTTACTCACCAATAAGTCCATCAACTCGACCCTGTGTGTGAGAGACCACCCATTCATCATGTTTACTCACCAATAAGTCCATCAACTCTCCCCTGTGTGTGAGAGACCACCCATTCATCATGTTTACTCACCAATAAGTCCATCATATCTGCCCTGTGTGTGAGAGACCACCCATTCATCATGTTTCCTCACCAATAAGTCCATCAACTCTGCCCTGTGTGAGAGACCACCCGTTCATCATGTTTACTCACCAATAAGTCCATCAAATCTGCCCTGTGTGTGAGAGACCACCCCTTCATCATGTTTACTCACCAATAAGTCCATCATATCTGCCCTGTGTGTGAGAGACCACCCATTCATCATGGTTACTCACCAATAAGTCCATCAACTCTGCCCTGTGTGTGAGAGACCCCCTATTCATTATGTTTACTCACCAATAAGTCCATCAACTCTGCCCTGTGTGTGAGGGACCACCCATTCATCATGTTTACTCACCAATAAGTCCATCATATCTGCCCTGTGTGTGAGAGACCACCCATTCATCATGTTTCCTCACCAATAAGTCCATCAACTCTGCCCTGTGTGAGAGACCACCCATACATCATGTTTACTCACCAATAAGTCCATCAACTCTGCCCTGTGTGAGAGACCACCCGTTCATCATGTTTACTCACCAATAAGTCCATCAACTCTGCCCTGTGTGAGAGACCACCCGTTCATCATGTTTACTCACCAATAAGTCCATCAAATCTGCCCTGTGTGTGAGAGACCACCCATTCATCATGGTTACTCACCAATAAGTCCATCAACTCTGCCCTGTGTGTGAGAGACCACTCCTCTCTCCATGTTAAAAGGGATGTCCTTGTCGATAGACACACTTCGGTAGCCAATACTTCTCAGCACCTGATAAACCAGAGGACAGAGACAAATAAATGTAAATATGGGTTTGAAACTTCATAGAACATTAAAATAAGGATGCCTATTAGTCTTCTAAAAACTTTCAACCATCGAGTAATATTTAATACATATTTTTTAAGATGGGCCAGGAATGATTTATTTTTCAATTGAAAATTTGTACATGTAAATGAAATTATCAGATCAATTACAATGGAAGTTTCAGTTTGTTCTTAATCCCTTTTTTACATTTATTTACACACTACATAATACTAAAGTAAATAAAATGAAAGAATCAAGAAGCTGATCAATGACCGGACTCCTAACTACTAGTTCCCTGTGCAATGCTACAGAACAGTCTGACTGTAGTTCAACTGTTGTTTTATGTTGAACTCTGTCACACTGTAGATAATAAATAGAGCGAGGGACAATAATAGGAACTCTACACTATGTACAGCTAGCTGTACATGATCCTTATAGTCTAGTCATTCTAGCTGAAATATGGCAAAACCTCAAACNTCATTGCTCCTTTTTAATCAGGTCTATCCCTGTCAACATTACAGGTAATATATATATATATATACAAGTGTATGTTCTCCTTCCTCTGTAAGGACAGTGCTCCATTCTTATCAGGGTTATCCCTGTCAACATATATACAGGTGTATGTTCTCCTTCCTCTGTAAGGACAGTGCTCCATTCTAATCAGGTCTATCCCTGTCAACATTACAGGTAATATATATATACAGGTATATGTTCTTTTTCTTCTGTAAGGACAGTGCTCCTTTCTAATCAGGTCTATCCCTGTCACCATTACAGGTTATATATATATATATACAGGTGTATGTTCTCCTTCCTCTGTAAGGACGGTGCTCCATTCTAATCAGGTCTATCCCTGTCAACATTACAGGTTATATATATATATACAGGTGTATGTTCTTTTTCTTCTGTAAGGACAGTGCTCCTTTTTAATCAGGTCTATCCCGGTCAACATTACAGGTAATATATATATACAGGTGTATGTTCTTTTTCTTCTGTAAGGACAGTGCTCCTTTCTAATCAGGTCTATCTCTGTCAACATTACAGGTTATATATATATATACAGGTGTATGTTCTTTTTCTTCTGTAAGGACAGTGCTCCTTTCTAATCAGGTCTATCCCTTTCAACATTACGGGGTTATATATATATATACAGGTGTATGTTCTCCTTCCTCTGTATGGACAGTGCTCCTTTCTAATCAGGTCTATCTCTGTCAACATTACAGGTTATATATATATATATACAGGTGTATGTTCTCCTTTCTCTGTACGGACAGTGCTCCTTTCTAATCAGGTCTATCCCTGTCAACATTACGGGGTTATATATATATATACAGGTGTATGTTCTCCTTCCTCTGTACGGACAGTGCTCCTTTCTAATCAGGTCTATCCCTGTCAACATTACAGGTTATATACTACATACAGCTGAGTGGGATTCATTCAGACTGTTTTGTTTCCATCTGACGATCAAATTCTGAATAAAAACCTTTTTTTACATCAACCAAGGAAGGATACATTCTATCATTTTATTATTTCATTAATTTATGTTATCCTAAAACTGATCTTTATTTTTCTTTATTGACTAAATCCAAATGTAACTTGTACCTTTTGGTAGAATATTTGATCCCTTTAACAACTGCTTTCTCACTGTGTGTAGACATACCTCAAGTCTATTGATAGCAAGCTTGATCCCTGTGACCTTTGTTTCCCCACAAATGTGTATTGGGCTCCTCAGGAACTGAAGCTTCCATTCCCGCTTGGCATCTGCCCATAATGCCTTATATCTAGCGTTAGGCTCAAGTGCTGTTTTGTACAGTAGATCTGTCAATCGACTCCTTGGGCGTGGCAGATCTACACCATCGTCATGGCAACAAGGGGAAAAGATATAAACTATACTGCACTATATTTCACAAGCAGCGAAACATATGGATTTAAATATATTTTAACTGTGGAGGGATTGCCTCTTTTGTCCATTTTCCTTTTCATATAAACCTCATTTTTTCCCCTTTAAATTGTAAATTGATTGTATCTCTTCACACATATTCCAAAAGGATCTTGGTAACCATGTGACTTGGATCGTAAGATTGATATGTTACTTCCATCTCTTTTCTTTAATCTGCTGGTTTGAAAGTAATTTCAACAGTAAGTGCACCATGTGGTAGCTGTTCATCAAATTTTCAAAAGAATTCACTGTGCAAATTGAGAAATAGCAATAACAATCTTAAAAGTGTACAAATCAAAGATGGCTGCCTGTGAATTGTTTATAGATGGATGGATATTTTGGATTAACCTCAAAATATCTAATGTTGTTTTCATCCCAAATACTTAAATGCCTGATTCCATTAACCTCTTAAAAGATTACATCAGACATTTTTCTATGGGGTTTACATAAATACCAATATTTAGTCTAAAAGAGTTGACAAGTCTTTGTGAATTAAGTGAAGGTTACATCCAGTCTCAGTTTGATAGTACATGTATTTTCAATTTTGTTTTACTTTGGTTTTTCAATTCATCATCAAGTTTGCATAAAATTGTTGGTGATTCCTCAACCTCTAATGGAAAACTATTCTACACCCTAACACTTCTTTACATTAAAGGAAATATTTGATTGTTAAGCTTTGAAAATCCTTTATAAATTAACAGTGCAAATGGAGACAATTTTACCTACTGGCATGTTTGAAATTTCACAGGGAAAATTTTAAAGAATGTTATAACTGATGTTTCCTATCTCTCTTTTTTTTCAAATATTTTCACTTTTTCACATAAAGGTGTTAAAATACATATATCTACAGAAAGTGATATAAAATTTCTTTCCTTGCAGTGTTAAAGAGACAACTATGTTCTGTCAATGTCTTAAAAACTTGTGTGTTCCAAATATATTTTCTGCAGATTATTGCAAATAAGACAAGGTATACTAGCTAACAAAAGTAAGGTTTCTATAATACACCAGAACGTGTATGAGCTAACAAAAGTAAGGTTTCTATAATACACCAGAATGTGTATGAGCTAACAAAAGTAAGGTTTCTATAATACACCAGAACTTGTATGAGCTAACAAAAGTAAGGTTTCTATAATACACCAGAACTTGTATGAGCTAACAAAAGTAAGGTTTCTATAATACACCAGAACTTGTATGAGCTAACAAAAGTAAGGTTTCTATAATACACCAGAACTTGTATGAGCTAACAAAAGTAAGGTTTCTATAATACACCAGAACTTGTATGAGCTAACAAAAGTAAGGTTTCTATAATACACCAGAACTTGTATGAGCTAACAAAAGTAAGGTTTCTATAATACACCAGAACTTGTATGAGCTAACAAAAGTAAGGTTTCTATAATACACCAGAACTTGTATGAGCTAACAAAAGTAAGGTTTCTATAATACACCAGAACTTGTATGAGCTAACAAAAGTAAGGTTTCTATAATACACCAGAACTTGTATGAGCTAACAAAAGTAAGGTTTCTATAATACACCAGAACTTGTATGAGCTAACAAAAGTAAGGTTTCTATAATACACCAGAACTTGTATGAGCTAACAAAAGTAAGGTTTCTATAATACACCAGAACTTGTATGAGCTAACAAAAGTAAGGTTTCTATAATACACCAGAACTTGTATGAGCTAACAAAAGTAAGGTTTCTATAATACACCAGAACTTGTATGAGCTAACAAAAGTAAGGTTTCTATAATACACCAGAACTTGTATGAGCTAACAAAAGTAAGGTTTCTATAATACACCAGAACTTGTATGAGCTAACAAAAGTAAGGTTTCTATAATACACCAGAACTTGTATGAGCTAACAAAAGTAAGGTTTCTATAATACACCAGAACTTGTATGAGCTAACAAAAGTAAGGTTTCTATAATACACCAGAACTTGTATGAGCTAACAAAAGTAAGGTTTCTATAATACACCAGAACTTGTATGAGCTAACAAAAGTAAGGTTTCTATAATACACCAGAACTTGTATGAGCTAACAAAAGTAAGGTTTCTATAATACACCAGAACTTGTATGAGCTAACAAAAGTAAGGTTTCTATAATACACCAGAACTTGTATGAGCTAACAAAAGTAAGGTTTCTATAATACACCAGAACTTGTATGAGCTAACAAAAGTAAGGTTTCTATAATACACCAGAACTTGTATGAGCTAACAAAAGTAAGGTTTCTATAATACACCAGAACTTGTATGAGCTAACAAAAGTAAGGTTTCTATAATACACCAGAACTTGTATGAGCTAACAAAAGTAAGGTTTCTATAATACACCAGAACTTGTATGAGCTAACAAAAGTAAGGTTTCTATAATACACCAGAACTTGTATGAGCTAACAAAAGTAAGGTTTCTATAATACACCAGAACTTGTATGAGCTAACAAAAGTAAGGTTTCTATAATACACCAGAACTTGTATGAGCTAACAAAAGTAAGGTTTCTATAATACACCAGAACTTGTATGAGCTAACAAAAGTAAGGTTTCTATAATACACCAGAACTTGTATGAGCTAACAAAAGTAAGGTTTCTATAATACACCAGAACTTGTATGAGCTAACAAAAGTAAGGTTTCTATAATACACCAGAACTTGTATGAGCTAACAAAAGTAAGGTTTCTATAATACACCAGAACTTGTATGAGCTAACAAAAGTAAGGTTTCTATAATACACCAGAACTTGTATGAGCTAACAAAAGTAAGGTTTCTATAATACACCAGAACTTGTATGAGCTAACAAAAGTAAGGTTTCTATAATACACCAGAACTTGTATGAGCTAACAAAAGTAAGGTTTCTATAATACACCAGAACTTGTATGAGCTAACAAAAGTAAGGTTTCTATAATACACCAGAACTTGTATGAGCTAACAAAAGTAAGGTTTCTATAATACACCAGAACTTGTATGAGCTAACAAAAGTAAGGTTTCTATAATACACCAGAACTTGTATGAGCTAACAAAAGTAAGGTTTCTATAATACACCAGAACTTGTATGAGCTAACAAAAGTAAGGTTTCTATAATACACCAGAACTTGTATGAGCTAACAAAAGTAAGGTTTCTATAATACACCAGAACTTGTATGAGCTAACAAAAGTAAGGTTTCTATAATACACCAGAACTTGTATGAGCTAACAAAAGTAAGGTTTCTATAATACACCAGAACTTGTATGAGCTAACAAAAGTAAGGTTTCTATAATACACCAGAACTTGTATGAGCTAACAAAAGTAAGGTTTCTATAATACACCAGAACTTGTATGAGCTAACAAAAGTAAGGTTTCTATAATACACCAGAACTTGTATGAGCTAACAAAAGTAAGGTTTCTATAATACACCAGAACTTGTATGAGCTAACAAAAGTAAGGTTTCTATAATACACCAGAACTTGTATGAGCTAACAAAAGTAAGGTTTCTATAATACACCAGAACTTGTATGAGCTAACAAAAGTAAGGTTTCTATAATACACCAGAACTTGTATGAGCTAACAAAAGTAAGGTTTCTATAATACACCAGAACTTGTATGAGCTAACAAAAGTAAGGTTTCTATAATACACCAGAACTTGTATGAGCTAACAAAAGTAAGGTTTCTATAATACACCAGAACTTGTATGAGCTAACAAAAGTAAGGTTTCTATAATACACCAGAACTTGTATGAGCTAACAAAAGTAAGGTTTCTATAATACACCAGAACTTGTATGAGCTAACAAAAGTAAGGTTTCTATAATACACCAGAACTTGTATGAGCTAACAAAAGTAAGGTTTCTATAATACACCAGAACTTGTATGAGCTAACAAAAGTAAGGTTTCTATAATACACCAGAACTTGTATGAGCTAACAAAAGTAAGGTTTCTATAATACACCAGAACTTGTATGAGCTAACAAAAGTAAGGTTTCTATAATACACCAGAACTTGTATGAGCTAACAAAAGTAAGGTTTCTATAATACACCAGAACTTGTATGAGCTAACAAAAGTAAGGTTTCTATAATACACCAGAACTTGTATGAGCTAACAAAAGTAAGGTTTCTATAATACACCAGAACTTGTATGAGCTAACAAAAGTAAGGTTTCTATAATACACCAGAACTTGTATGAGCTAACAAAAGTAAGGTTTCTATAATACACCAGAACTTGTATGAGCTAACAAAAGTAAGGTTTCTATAATACACCAGAACTTGTATGAGCTAACAAAAGTAAGGTTTCTATAATACACCAGAACTTGTATGAGCTAACAAAAGTAAGGTTTCTATAATACACCAGAACTTGTATGAGCTAACAAAAGTAAGGTTTCTATAATACACCAGAACTTGTATGAGCTAACAAAAGTAAGGTTTCTATAATACACCAGAACTTGTATGAGCTAACAAAAGTAAGGTTTCTATAATACACCAGAACTTGTATGAGCTAACAAAAGTAAGGTTTCTATAATACACCAGAACTTGTATGAGCTAACAAAAGTAAGGTTTCTATAATACACCAGAACTTGTATGAGCTAACAAAAGTAAGGTTTCTATAATACACCAGAACTTGTATGAGCTAACAAAAGTAAGGTTTCTATAATACACCAGAACTTGTATGAGCTAACAAAAGTAAGGTTTCTATAATACACCAGAACTTGTATGAGCTAACAAAAGTAAGGTTTCTATAATACACCAGAACTTGTATGAGCTAACAAAAGTAAGGTTTCTATAATACACCAGAACTTGTATGAGCTAACAAAAGTAAGGTTTCTATAATACACCAGAACTTGTATGAGCTAACAAAAGTAAGGTTTCTATAATACACCAGAACTTGTATGAGCTAACAAAAGTAAGGTTTCTATAATACACCAGAACTTGTATGAGCTAACAAAAGTAAGGTTTCTATAATACACCAGAACTTGTATGAGCTAACAAAAGTAAGGTTTCTATAATACACCAGAACTTGTATGAGCTAACAAAAGTAAGGTTTCTATAATACACCAGAACTTGTATGAGCTAACAAAAGTAAGGTTTCTATAATACACCAGAACTTGTATGAGCTAACAAAAGTAAGGTTTCTATAATACACCAGAACTTGTATGAGCTAACAAAAGTAAGGTTTCTATAATACACCAGAACTTGTATGAGCTAACAAAAGTAAGGTTTCTATAATACACCAGAACTTGTATGAGCTAACAAAAGTAAGGTTTCTATAATACACCAGAACTTGTATGAGCTAACAAAAGTAAGGTTTCTATAATACACCAGAACTTGTATGAGCTAACAAAAGTAAGGTTTCTATAATACACCAGAACTTGTATGAGCTAACAAAAGTAAGGTTTCTATAATACACCAGAACTTGTATGAGCTAACAAAAGTAAGGTTTCTATAATACACCAGAACTTGTATGAGCTAACAAAAGTAAGGTTTCTATAATACACCAGAACTTGTATGAGCTAACAAAAGTAAGGTTTCTATAATACACCAGAACTTGTATGAGCTAACAAAAGTAAGGTGTCTATAATACACCAGAACTTGTATGAGCTAACAAAAGTAAGGTGTCTATAATACACCAGAACTTGTATGAGCTAACAAAAGTAAGGTTTCTATAATACACCAGAACTTGTATGAGCTAACAAAAGTAAGGTTTCTATAATACACCAGAACTTGTATGAGCTAACAAAAGTAAGGTTTCTATAATACACCAGAACTTGTATGAGCTAACAAAAGTAAGGTTTCTATAATACACCAGAACTTGTATGAGCTAACAAAAGTAAGGTGTCTATAATACAGCAGACCTGGTATTAAATCAAGGAGTTCCAGGTAGTCTTTTGGATTGAGATGTGGTCGACACTCGGGGATCTTTGTCATTTCCCGTAGCTCTTTGATAGTGAAGGCAACTTGTAATGGTCCCCTTCTTCCAACCAACACAACCCCTTTTATGCAGCTATGTGACAGTGCCTCGAGGGCATGCTGGGATATGTCAGTTGTCTGGAAAACAAAAATCATCTCTATCAATACAATATCAAGCATTTCTGTTTAAGTTTCAAAGAAATGAGTAGATGAATTTTGAATTGCATATTATAACAATACAAGTATTGACCTGCTATTATGTAAATCTCAATGACAAGTTGTAGTTATTTAGAAATTTTGTTGTACAGTCCTTAATAAATTGTTAAAAGGTTATAGACCAAAATCAACAAGAACTAATACAAGTGAAGTCTATCGGTAACTGTTTGAATTTGTCCATCCTTCTGTCAGAGTAACAGGAAAGCAATCATGACTTGACATAATGGAAGATATTTGAACAAACCTTTGTAAGAAATTAGAAATGTTTAAAAAAGATGGATATTCAAGCAACCATGAAAAAATCTTCTCATTGAATGTCAAATTGCAACTATTTCCCCATTTATGGCTCAGCATCCAGCAGGATATTACCTTTGTTTAATATACCTTCCCAGGTCCCAAGGATCAAGGATGTTCCATGTCAATTTTGATGGAGATTTATATAATTATACAAGCATATGGTTTTAGGGTGGAAATCTGAATCTTTTCCAAGTTATGAAAATAGGATTAAGTCCCTAAGTGTGAAGGCAGACCCAAGGGCTAATCCTGGTCACATTGTTGTATATTTGTTCCTTAATACCTAGCTAGGTTAACTGATGGGGACCTCGACAATGTTTGAAGCTTAGTGACCAAACGACATGTGACCTCGACAGTAGGTCAATACCATTTGCATGAAGAAACTTCATAGCACTCCATCCTAACTGTTGGCCAACTATCAGGACCCTTGGCTAGGTCTTCAGAAGGCTTTTATCAATTATAGCCCATTTTTACATTTCACCTCGGTCAATAAAACTTACTTTTGACCTCAACAAATGATCTCTGCTGGTATGCATAACATACCCAAGTTTCATGGGTTAAAACATTATAGTTGTTTAAATGACGGTGTTTGGATTTTTGGATTATCGTGGGGTAAAAACCTGTCTATATATTACAACTAATGTTTATATTTGAAGTTGACCTTTGACTTCAATATTCATAAGACTTTTTTAACAACACTGGTCTACATATTAAACATATAATAATAGTAATATAATAATTTGAGGTTCTTCTATACTGCTTTATCACAACCTAGTTCGTAGGTCATCTCAAAGCAGTTCACAAATTATTATCCATGGTTATAGGGCCTTTGCAACCAGCCAACTTAACCATATATTACCACTCTAAACCTTTTATTTCCTTCGATAGGGTTGTTTTGAAATTTTCAAAGTCAGTACTTGGGATAGTATAAAACTTAAGACATTCACCCTTTATACTCCATGTTAACATTTGACCCTAGCCACTGCTCAAATATGAACCTCATCGCAATATGTGAGGAAAAGAAAGAGATTTGCATGTATACATACTGAATAGTATCATAAATTTAGACCTTATTGCTTTTCAGATAATGCTGTTTGAAATTAGGTCAAGGCCATTTCATCAAATATTACAACACTGGGGCTTTCGGTTTAAAAAAATAATTGAAATAAAACTGATGACAACAGCACCATCATACCATTAGCTAACAGGCACCTTGTGTCAAGTTTGAAATGCTACTAACAAGTTGATTTCCAGGGTTTGCTGTGCAGTGCTATACCTTGAGTATATCTATAGGGGTAAGGAGGATCCTGGCCATGTCCACAGCCACATTCCTTACCTTGAGTATATCTATAGGGGTAAGGAGGATCCTGGCCACATCCCCAGCCACATTCCTTACCTTGAGTATATCTATAGGGGTGAGGAGGATCCTGGCCACGTCCACAGCCACGTTCCCATGTCCAAGGATGACTGCTCTCTCTGCACTCAGATCTACCTTCAACTACATCATACACACTGATTATATGTGGTGCTTTGTAACCATGCAAATCTTATAGCAATAAAAAGTACTTCCAGAAACCCTTATCCCCCCCCCCCCCTCCTCCCACATAAACACACACACTTATAGCAATAAAAAGTTCTTCCAGAAACCCTTATCCCCCACCCCCCCTCCCACACACTTCTGGGTTTATCAATTGGATGGTCAAGTGCATTGGGAACTAGACAAAAAACAGAATGAGGTTTATGAAAAGTACCTCAGAAGCTGTTTCTTTTCTTATTTTTACTGTCTTTTAACGAGTGATATATTCCACTTACATCTCTGTCCTGAGGAAGTCCATTGAACCAACCGACAAATGACCGTGCAGACAACACGTTGTCTAAACCCTGTACAGATGTAATAGAACAATATTAGTAGCCAAGCAAAAATTGAACAAAACAACCAATCGCAGAGTGGGAAAAAAAATACATTGTATTTCAAATTCGACCACACCAGCTTTGTTGTGACTTTTTCACAGATTAATAAAATTTCATTAAAAGAATCTGAATCATAACCTATAAGATTTGAGTAGTTATATGTGTGACTTTACTCTCTTAACAGAATTAAATTTATAACATGAGAGTTAACAAAGATGATATGATGTTACACATGAATATATATCACAATGCAGTGAATAAGGTTTTTCTGAGGAGTATGGAGGTACAAACCAAATGATCTGACTCAGTTTAAAGGATACCCGACTCATTCAAGTTGAGAGATAAGATGGGTTTTTAATTTTCTATGTGTTAGTTACCTCCCCTGGGATCCCTAGCGTCTTGTCATTGTCAGCACCATATGCCTGAAAAAGTCAGTAAGATATTTAAATAAATGTTGGCATTTTGCCTACAATACAATTTTAATAATTGCAAACCATTTTAAATTGTAGCGCTGAAATGAAATTAAGATCAAAATACTGAATCCCAAAATAAATCTTCAATAACAATACAAATATTACAGCTGGGTGTACCACTGTACTGGTGTACATGTAAGTATTAAAGTTAAGTTTACTGATGTACATACAAATATTACAGCTGGGTGTACCACTGTACTGGTGTACATGTAAGTATTAAAGTTAAGTTTACTGATGTACATACAAATATTACAGCTGGGTGTACCACTGTACTGGTGTACATGTAAGTATTAAAGTTAAGTTTACTGATGTACATACAAATATTACAGTTGAGTGTATTGGTGTGAATTCTTACAAGTATGACAGCTGAGTTTTCTTGTGTACATACAAGAGTTGAGTGTACCGGTGTACACACGAGTATTACAGCTGAGTTTTCTTGTGTACATGCAAGACTTGAGTGTAACGGTGTACACACGAGTATTACAGCTGAGTTTTCTTTTGTACATACAAGACTTGAGTGTAACGGTGTACACACGAGTATTACAGCTGAGTGCACTGGTGTACATACAATACTTTAGTGTACCGGTGTACACATGAGTATTACAGCTGAGTGCACTGGTGTACATACAATACTTTAGTGTACCGGTGTACACATGAGTATTACAGCTGAGTGCACTGGTGTACATACAAGACTTGAGTGTACCGGTGTACACACGAGTATTACAGCTGAGTGCACTGGTGTACATACATACAAGAACCACACCTGTCTGAGTGTACTGGTGTATACACGAGTATTACAGCGTCCGAGTATTACAGTTGAGTGTACTGGTGTATATACTTCCAAGTATTACAGCTGAGTGTACTGGTGTTTACACTTCCAAGTATTACAGCTGAATGTACTGGTGTACATTCAAGTATTACAGCTGAATGTTCTGATGCATACACAAGTATTACAGTATAGATACTTACAAGAATTACAACTGAGTGTACTGTATTGGTATACATACTTACAAGTTTTACAGCTGAGTGTTCTGGTGTATATACAAGTATTACAGCTGAGTGTTCTGATGTATACACAAGTATTACAGCTGAGTGTTCTGGTGTATACACAAGTATTACAGCTGAGTGTATACATTCTGTGTTGGTGTACATACTTACAAGCACCACTGCTGAATATGCATCCCTAAGTTGCTGCAGTGTTATGTCCCTTCCCACTTCCACATTGCCTATGAAGGAGCACCTTTCTGACTTGGCTGTTTTAGTGAATGTATTGATCACATTCTGTCAAAAAAAAAACTACCAATCATATTTTGTGTTAATATCTAACATTTCTTACAAATATAACAGATTCAAGTGTTCTGTATTGAGGAGGCATGGCAGCTATCTAGGATGTGGACCCATGGCAGTTCTAGTAAAGCATTCAACACATTTGATGGAGGGATTGCAGCTATCAGGAACAGATCCAGCATTGCAGCTAGCTAGGAGGTATGGAAGCCCTGAGGAGCCATTGCAGATATATATCTAAGCAGGGATTTTAGATACCAAAGGCAAAAGATAGTCCGCAACTATCTTAGTCAGATGAAGCATTGAGGCTTTCTTGGGCAGAGGATGTATTGTTCTAGGGTGGTATAGAACTATCTGAGTAGGAGGTCGTGCAGGTCTAGGGTGGCATAAAATTATCTGTGGAGAAGGTCATGCAGGTCTAGGGTGGTTTAGAACTATCTGGGGAGGAGGGCGTGCAGGTCTAGGGTGGTATAGAACTATCTGAGTAGGAGGTCGTGTAGGTCTAGGGTGGTATAGAACTATCTGGGGAGGAGGTCGTGGATGTCTAGGGTGGCATAGAATTATCCGAGTAGGAGGTCGTGCAGGTCTAGGGTGGCATAAAATTATCATGGGAGGAGGTCGTGCAGGGCTAGGGTGGTTTAGAACTATCTGGGGAGAAGGTCATGCAGGTCTAGGGTGGTTTAGAACTATCTGGGGAGGAGGGCGTGCAGGTCTAGGGTGGCATAGAATTATCTGGGGAGGAGGTCGTGCAGGTCTAGGGTGGTATAGAACTATCTGGGGAGGAGGTCGTGCAGGTCTAGGGTGGCATAGAATTATCTGGGGAGGAGGTCGTGCAGGTCTAGGGTGGCATAGAAGCTGTCTGGGGAGGAGGTTGTGCAGGTCTTGGATGGCTTTGTAGCTGTCTGGGGAGGATGTCATGCAGGTCTTGGAAGGCTTTGTAGCTATCTGAGGAGGAAGGATTACAGCCATCTGAGAATAATGAGACATTATGCTACTTTTTGTGGAAGTGTTGCAGATATCTAGGGCAGAGGAGTCATTTAAAATAAGATTTAACAGACATTCAAATGTAACTTACTTTGACCTCAGGGTGGTCTGGAGCAACACCAAACCGTACCAGGCCAAATGGAACAGGTAACTTCTCATAGATATCTACTACGATGTCAGGATTTCCCTATGACAGATAAACAAACATTTATTCACATCTGATAAATGCATGGTAAAACAAATACTGATAAATGCATGGTAAAACAAATATATGTTTACCCTTGAAGAATATTCACTACTGAATTTATTTCTTAAAGAAAAGCTATAGCATTAAAAATCTACATTGAAAATGAAATAAAAAGGAAAGTAAAAAGTTATGAGATTCATGTTATCAGAGCTGAGTTTACTTGCTTGGAATGCTTACCGGTACATGTGTTTTTAGCTATTCTATAAACCATACTATTTCTAGATTGGAGTGATTACATAGTACAGGTACATAATAACACAGCGTTTTTACTTGTTTTCATCATTAAATAGAAGGGCTTCATTGAGTGCTTTACATATTTTTTAATGTTAAAACAGATCTATACTCTTGAATAAGTATTATAAATATAATGAAAAGTTATTAAGATTTATTTTTCATTTTCTTTTCTACCCCTCCTCAGTGACATGAGTAATTATGTCTTAACTACGAGAGGATATGTGGCAAGCTAAAGCCACATATATCTATACAAGAATACCTTGAGGAGTTGTTGGGCTGTATAAAACCCTGCAGGGCCACTCCCAACAACACACACATGGGGCACAGGTGAATCCACAGATGTATGGTCAGCCACACAATGACGGAACTGCTGCTTCAGAAACCGATGTAGATGACGTTTACACAGGCGAGGGACTGCTATCACATTTGGCAACATCAGGCTATAAACTAGAGATAAATTATTTTATTGATCCTTTACATTTTTAGTACAACCCTGATATGCTCCACAAATTCACTGCATGGTAGTACATTAAATTTGAACATATAAACTTCATCCAAAATAAACACTTTATAATCTTTTCCGATTGCTGACATTCTCCGTCATTTTCATTTTCCGTTACTGCATATCAGGAAACGTTAGCCTTATTCCAGTAAAATACATATTTGCTCAGTGTTCATTTTGCCCTTTTCATTTGATAACTTTCTTCATTATGTTGTTTACTTTTGTTCACTGTAATGTTGAATTCACCTTCATTACAAAAGGCAAAACTAAATTATAAGGTAATGTAGCATTTTAGCATGGTTATAAAAAACCTAATTTCTACTTAAGTATGCTCTGGTAAAGATTGAGCTACTTAGATAAAGTCTATTTTGTATTCATGATGGAATCTGACAGGAAGTTGTTGTCCAAGAGCAATGCTGTACATTCATTGTAACCTTGATAAATGTTGAGTATATGGTATTTGCAAGGAGATATAGCCACATTTTAACCTGTTCATAGAATAACTCCGGCACGTCTAATTACCCAATACTACCCAATACCACCCAATACTACCCAATACCACCCCATACGACCCAGTTATGAACCAAATACTTCTGTATTACTGTGAAATATCACCTTTGTAGACGTTATTTACTTCCATATGCCATACCATACGACATAGTTAGCGATTTGGTGCGGAAAACATCACCAAATTGCCGTCACTATGACCCAATACTAATACTGCTCCATACCACCCAATACTACCCCATACGACATAGTTATTAACCAAATAATTCTTTATTACTGTGAAATATCACATTTCTTGAAGTTATTTACTTCTATATTTCACATCCTATCTGGAAATATGCGATTTGGTGCAGAAAACATCACCGAAATGCTGTGACTAGGGGTTCGACGATTTAGAGGAACGGGCAGGAACGGGCAGAAATCTATTAATTATTATATATACATTAATGAATATATATATTAGATACATTTAAGTATCTTTATCGGGTATAAGATATATTTGATAAAAGGATTGCAATCACATGATCGGGGCAGAATCGGACTAAATTATATATATATATATATATATTTATAGTATTATATCTTTATTTTATTGGGTACAAGATACGTCATTTGATAAAAGGATTGCAACGAATTAAAAGTATTGTATTGATATGGATCAGGCAAGAACGGGCGACGATTTACAGTACAGAAACGGGGCAGGATCGGACTATTTAATCATCCTTATCGGGTATAAGGTATATTTGATAAAAGAATTGCAATTACAGGAACGGGGCAGGATCGGACTAAATATGTATATATATATATAAATTGCCTGGCCGAGGTTCCAATATATGTCTCTGTTTTATTCTATAAAAAAGGGTTGATACTGTTTGGAGGGAAGGTTTATGGAAGAAATTATTAAAGAATAATATCACAGATATTTAATGCTAAAATTTATCTGTATGCAAACACTAAATCTTGCGTAAAAACTAGCAATGGTATGACTTGATTTTTTCACATGTCACGTCGGGGTAAAAATCTCTCCCTATTTTTGTTCTCAATATATTCAAATGATTTAGAAGAATCTTTCATGCAAAGTAATGTTGACCAACTCCAGTATATTGATAATTTATTTCAAGAACGCATGGGTATATTTGTTAAATTATTTATTCTGCTATATGCAGATGACACAGTTGTTATGTCAGAAACAGCTAAAGGTCTAGAGAATGCTTTCCGTGAATTTGAAACTTATTGTACTATTTGGAAACATAAAGTTAATCTCAATAAAACTAAAGTTGTTATCTTTGAAAAAAGGAAAAGTAATTGCACAAAATATTCGTTTTACTCTTTTTGGTGAAGAGTTGCAAACACATGACTGTTACTCGTTTCTAGGACTGCTGTTTCATTATAATGGCAGTTTCTGTAAAGCAAGAAAAAAACTTGTTGAACAGGCTCAAAAAGCAATGTATGCATTATATAAAAAAATAAGAAATATTATTTTACCAATTGACCTACAATTAAAATTGTTTGATGTATTAATATCCCCAATCCTCTTGTACTCCTCAGAAATTTGGGGGTTTGAAAATACCAATATGATTGAGAAATTACATGTACAGTTTTGTAAAAGAATTTTAAACATTCGTAGCTCCACAGCAAATATAATGGTATATGGTGAAACGGGTTGCCCTCTGAATATTGAAATTAAATCTAGAATGATAATGTTTTGGTATAAACTAATTACAGGTGAAAATAAATTGTCTAGTATAATGTACAAGCTTATGCTGAATTTACATGAAAATGATTTCGCTGATTTTAAATGGATTTCATATATCAAGAATCTATTCAATTGCACGGGACTAAGTTTATGTTTAAAATTAGATATTGTACACGGAATTGGATAGAGTCTATGGTTGTGCATTCATATAAATTGATGTTTTTAAAGACTTAAATTTGTTTAAATAAATTTGACGAGTATTTAGTAAGCGTAGATTTTCTTTTCACAACCATGTATCTTAAGTATATATTGGAACAAACCTATATTTATACATATTATATCGATAGTTGTTAAAACTAAAAAAAAAACGTAGAATGTTCATGTACGTCAATACGTTTATAACGTTCATTGCATAATAAAATTATCTAAACATTTGTTCTAATTTAGTTGACTATAAGTAATTTTGGTGGAAATCCTCTATTTGCCAATTCTATTCAAAATTTATCTCCGTTTTTGTCGTCATTGCATAACCAATATATATATATAGTCAAGTCAAGTCAAGTCAATTTTGTTTATTATAGTGTAATATATCACAATTACATTGTACAAGTATATAGTTACACAGTATACAAACATATAGTTACATAACAGGGATCAATCATCTTAATGTAAAAATATATAGACCATATTGTAATTTTGTTAAGAACAGCTATTATACATAATAAATTAATAAATTAAAACAAACTATCAGATGTGCCAATCCAGAGAGCAGGTGATTGGGACAGCCCCTAACTAACAAACTCCTGGATTTTGTCCTTACATATTAAATACTATAATAGTTAAAAGGTTTCTTTTAAATTTACTGCCTTAAAAAATGATGTCTTTAAAAAACCCAATAACAATGGTGATAAATAAAATGAATAATTTCCTAGTTCTACATTGTAGTGAAATTTAGGTTTCCAAGAGTTGGGGAGCCCCCTACCAGCGAGGTCTGTTAAATTCACACTAACTAGTAGCTAATTATAATTTAAACGGAAGATTATTTTCATATTATTTTTTTCTGATTGACACCTGGTATCATATTTAACAAATGCATCAAATAGAAAATGTAATTGTATATGATATTCAGCCTAAAATGGCTTACAAGACACTGTTTAAAATTATAACTAATCACATAGACTGCTACATCTTCTGTACATGTTATATAAGTGGTATGCAAGTGGAATTTGTAATTCCGCGGAAGACATTATAAAATTAAATTATAATATATATATTTACCTGTAATTGTGATTTAGATTCGGTACCAGTATACACCACATTAGTGTACCATCAGGAACTTGGATTGTTAAGTGCCCGGGGGCACAGACCCGGGATATTTGCCCGAGTCCAGAATGGAGCCATACTCCAGACAATTTAAATTTAAATAAATGATTTAGAAACTTATCTTGTTGAAAAAATGTAAATTGTCTTCAAACAATAGACAAACTGTGTATTGACAACATTGGAGTGTATCTCAAACTGTTCATTTTCTTATATGCTGATGATACTGTCTTGTTTTCAGAAACAACAGATGGTTTACAATTAGCTTTAAATGAATTTGAAAGTTGTCATCTTTTCAAAAAGAAAATGTGCAACAACTCTCCATTTTACATTATGTAACGTAGAATTAGAAATACTGGAAGGGTATACCTATCTAGGATTATTCTTTAATTTTAGTTGTAGCTTCTTTAAAGCAAGGAAAAAAATTGTTGAACAAGCACAGAAATCAGTGTTTGCTGTCTATAAGAAATTGAGAAACATATCTTTACCAGTTGATCTACAATTGAAGATATTTGATTCATTAATCATGCCAGTTCTTCTGTATTCATCAGAAATATGGGGTTTTGAAAACACAAATATTATAGAAAAAATCCATCTTCAATTTTGTAAATATATACTAAATGTAAGAAAAAGTACACCAAATTTCATTGTTTATGGTGAGCTTGGAAGATACCCACTAGACATCGAAATTAAATGTAGAATAATAGTATTCTGGCATAAGTTGATTACCTCTAGTAAGTTATCAAGTACTATGTATAAGCTAATGTATACATTACAAGAAAATGGAACTGTGTTATTTAAATGGCTCGCATATGTTAAAGATATTTTATCTCAAACTGGCCTGAACTATGTGTGGTACTATCAATCTACATGTTCTTTTTCAAAAGACGAAATTAAGAGGCTTGTGAAAAGTAGACTAAAGGATCAATTTATACAGAAATGGTTTGATGATATTCTTAACTCCTCTAGAGGACAAACATATTCAATATTTAAGACAAAGTTTGAACAAGAAAAATATTTAATTAAGCTTAATACAAATGATAGGAAAATCATGTGTAAATTTCGTTCTTCCAATATGCATTTACCCGTAGAAAAAGGAAGATGGTTAGGTATTCCTGGTCAAGAAAGAACATGTACATTATGTAATTCCGACATTGGGGATGAATTTCATTACTTATTTATATGTGAAAGTGATTTAGTTAAATGTCTAAAAGAGAAATATATACCAAAATACTATTTCATTTATCGAAGTCAAATAAAAATGCAAGGATTGTTAAATATATTTAATGTAAAAATTTACACAAATGTTTGTAGATTCCTAGAAAAGCTTGAAAAAATATTAACTTAATTTCTGTACAAGGTTATGCTCCTTCTTTATGTAACTATGCTATATACAATGGTGTAATTGTGTACATCACATGCCATGTATCATATTTACTATATGTATGTGACCTCTTGTTACACACGTAAGTGTGTCGGAGTGAATAAATCAATTATTTATCAATTTAATTTTTAAATTGATTAATGACAACCTACTCGTCTACCCTTCATAAGATTGGTCAGAGAACTATATCTAGCTTGTCCGAAACAGACTATCTGTGAGTTAATTAAGTAATTGAAAGGGCTTCGAATCATATACAATCCATATACTTTTTTGAATTTCATAGTATTTGAGTATCTTATTTAACTGAAGGTTCTTCTCCAGCATTATTATATAATTGATACTGTTATGTTTAACAAAATTGAATAACTAACATTTTTGAAAAGTAATTTCAAATTTTCTAAATATTTCCTGTTAAATTTATATAGAGCAACGGAGGGTGTTATCGACAGTTGCCTGTATGATTTCAATATATATATCGTGAATTGTGAAAGGTGAGAACATGTACCCGACAACAATAGTATGCTAAAGTCTATCCAGTAAACAGACATAACTTTACAAGCATACTAAAATACTAAAAAATCCAAATTTCTCAATAAAATCCATGTAGATAAGTCTTGTAAATATGCTCAATATAAACTACAATTACAAATTATGAAAAATATCAATATTTGAAGACACTGCAGTCATATATATCCAGAATATAATATATATTGAAAAGTAATCAATTACATAGATAAAATGTTGATGAAAATTGTTCTGTTAGGCAGGAGGTATATAACTAATTATCTTGTGAACATTAAGAACCTAAAAACATTTCCACAATGATTATTTCAAGAAGATTCAATTATGTTTTCTTGAATTAAATTTCTGATCTCTATCATTGTAGGATAAATGCATCATAATTCAAAACTTTTGGGCTGTTGGAATGCATCACTGGGGATCAAAATAATATGAAATTGGGGTGGGACACCATATTGAAAGGGAACCAGAAAATGTGTTTGATCAAAATGCTGTGACGGTGACTGTTTGCGCATGCGTGCAGAAAAGGGAGCGTGTTTGTTTACATTTATGACTTAACATATCACTTGACATGTTTATACCTTTTTTAAGCAATTGGACACACGTCAGAACAAATGAATGTATTATTAGAGATTAATAATAGAAATAATTAACATTTTAACTTAGCTGTCGATAACTACCTCCACCTGTCGATAACTACCCCTGTCATTAATGCCAACAAAACAATGATTTCTCCCGCGATTCGTCACATGTACGTTTATTGCAGATGATGAAATAGAGTACGTTTCCCGACTTCTTCGAAATGCCATCATAAAATAACTTACGCAAAACGGTAAACTGGAAAAACAAATTTGAAGCTTAGACTGTCGATAACTGCCTCCATTGCTCTATATGATCTCAATAACACCATTTTATGACATGAATAGAATTAATATAGTATCACGTAATTGCAATTCTTTTATCAAATATATCTTATACCCGATAATGATACTTAAATGTATCTAATATATATAAATAGATTTCTGCCCATTTCTGCCCGTTCCTGTAAATCGTCGAAACCTTAGTCACGACAATTCGGTGATGTTTTCGCCACCAAATCGCATATTTCCCGATTAAATATGACAGATGGAAGTATATAACGTCTACAAAGGTGATATTTCACAGTAATAAAGAAGTATTTGGTTAATAACTAGGTTGTATGGGGTAGTATTGGGTAGTATTGGGTGGTATGGGGTAGTATTGGGTCATAGTCACGGCAATTCGGTGATGTTTTCGGCACCAAATCGCATATTTCCTGATAAAATATGGCATATGGAAGTAAATAACGTCTACAAAGGTGATATTTCATAGTAATAAAGAAGTATTTGGTTCATTACTTGGTTTTATGGGGTAGTATTGGGTGGTATTGGGTGGTATTGGGTAATTAAACGCGCCCGAATAACTCTTACATTTGCATAAATACTAACAGTTGGCACTTATCTTTATATCTCACAGGTCCTCACCTCTCATGACAAATACTTCACAGAGGACATGATAATTAAATATTTTACACACATGGGCATATTAGGCCTAATGAATAAATGATGTTAGTTCTCACGCGAGCAGCTCATGTGCTGATTGTTAACAAATTCTGGTATGGGTTACCAACTCTCCTCATTTAAGGAAGGAGACTCCCGATTTTGGACCCTTAGATTTTATACTTTCAACCAGTGAAATTGGTAAGCTATGTTAACTATCCGTTCATTATAAGGTCTCGTTGTTTCAACTTAAAGAACAACTCAATATTATGTCATTAGGTCGTCGCTACACCTTAGACTAGGTAATTCCGTGCTTCAATTCAGATGACTGGACATCAATATGAAAATCGTCCAAAATGTTAGAATAAAATGTGTCAACATAACTTGACGTTTGCTTTTGAATCTCTTACATTTGTTGAACAGATATACCAAATAGGGAATAGTGTGCTCGATGACGTAAAGGCCAGCCTGGGATGCTGTATGCTTAACCTCTGGTTTCAGACAACACGCCTTCACTTAATGGCCTTGAACTTTCGCCTTTAGTGGGTCAAATGGAATTTGTTACATACAATCATATGTATCTAAACAAATTTAAATTTTACACATAACCTCCTAGTTGATTATTTTCCGCATCAGTAATACGATTTGCATAATCGATGTCGTTATTTACTTATTGTACGCCAACAACCGTGAACTATTTCTTGCGGAGCGGAAGTGAAAAGCCGGATAGGTAAATAATTCATACGCTTTGTCGAGCGCTAGGAAGCAAGTACCGGTGAGTCATGTTAGAAGGAAATTATGTTTAAAGACATATTTCCCATGTGTTTATCATGCTATTCGATCGATGTGAATGTTAAATGTTCAGTTTATAATGTTTTTGAAAGCTAATATTTTTATTGACTGACAGGTGTTCTGGGAAGAGTGGGCGAAATACTACCGCTAACTTTACTTCCGCCTTTGGTTTCAGTCACTTCAGATTTGTATTGAACACATTACAATTACTCATTATATCGAGCTCTTTCGATAGTTTGTCGTTGAACAGGTCCATTCATCCGGCCAGATTTCATTTTTCTGCATCAGAAATATATAGCATAGTGTAAGTGGTGCCGTGGTGTTATTCGGACCACTTTCTTCCGCATCTAGCAGTGAATATTTTGCTCAGTTTTACTGCCGAATACAGGCTGATTCCACTAGCTAAAAAGTGCCTTATTTTCCCAAAACGACCAAAAGATGAGGAATATGTTCCCGATTTCAATACAAATAATGCTTTGTTTCCCCAATTCATAAAGGAACAGGCTGTTAAATTAAGGTAGCAAAAACACTCTACCTTATACACAGAGACAAGAGTTTTCCTTTTAAGCAGATATGTTTTGACCTGAAAAGATGTAACCATTGATGGTATATACACAAGAGGTTCAGAGGTTTGTTGTAGAACAAGCTTCCCTATCTAAATCTGCGCATCTTCGGGGCGAAGACTTAGACAAGGAAGGAAAGAATGTAGCTGAACTGGACAGGGTTGATCCAGAGACATATAAAGCCATAAAGCCAGAGATTGGCAACTAACACAAATTGCACAAGAGCATGTATGACAGTATTGTTATCAAAGATCCATCACAAGACATGAGCTGCGCATATAGGCGGTATCAGCTTTCTTGGTGTTTGATTGATACAGAGTTATAAAGATCACTAACAGCTGCTACATTCCGTCAGTAGAGTTCTGTTTTTAATTGTGCAAAATTTCCCACTTGAGTGATGACATTTTGTAGGTTATGCAAATTACATAGGATTGACTGCGTGATCAACAAAAAGAGGCGGTCTGGAATTCTTCTAAATAGAAAAAATGTATTAAGTTCGGTCCGGATCAGTATGGTTCCTTGCTTAGTCACTCCTATGTAATTTGCATAATCTACAAATTGGTGTCGCTCAGGTGGGAAATTTTCAACAGAGGATTCGGAATCTTGCAGCATTTGGTGATAATAAAGATGGATTTTGATAAAATAAATAACCCATTTATCAATATATGAGGTATGTGTTGTGTCATAGCAGGTTTTTGTTGTCATTATAATGTTTCAAAGTTCTACTCGGCTTGCACTACATATAATCTATAAGAGGTTCATGAGACGTAAGGTCATGCAAGGACGTAATCAGTCTCATGAATATGCAAAAAGTGGCAGTACAGCTGTATATGATTGAGAAATCTTGGAAACATGTGGGTGGTATTTTTACTGAATGATGTTCTTAATCTGTAAAATGTCTAATTTCACTCTGAATACACCAGTTTAGGTCCAAACATATCTGCTGTAACGAATTCTTGCATTCTTTGATCCTACAGATATTCATCTCCATTATCCTTTTTTAATTCCTTAAAATAACCAACCAATGTTCACATACTTTTACTCAATTTGCATAGTTATTACAATAAAAAATCAAGAAATTTGATTAAAACTGAATTTAAAAACCTTCTTCTATTTACCGACAACTACAGCAAATATAATCCAAACTCATTCTTCTGTTACAATCATTATTGTTAACATCTTGCAATTTCAACTACGTATACAGGGATCATGGATCTAGAGTTTGTTTTAATGGTATTTTTATTCATCTTGAAATTTCAGCTGATTCACAACAGTAGAACTATAACTTAGATCAAGAGCCTCCATCCCAACACAGTAAGTACATATATTGTAGATCTACTAGGCTATAATCCAAGCAAATTTTATTATCAAAAGTAGGTTGGTTCCTAACTTCCTAGTGGTGTTCCGATAATTGAAAAAAGTTGAAAGTCGATCAATATTTGTTTGAAAAAGTAAGCACTCGATTACAATGTCTAATAATTGAAAAATCAAAAACTGCTTTAAATATGCTGAATTTATTTAAAACTGCAATGTATCCAAAGTTACTATCTTTGCCCAGCGTGTTGTTAGAAGCCACAGGTGTGGGCGTAAGTATGTACTCGCGCTATTAGGTAAAGATAACCACATCATAAACTGTAGTTTCGTATTTTTCTATACACTACACAATGTATTTACCAACGTTTTGATATTCCGATTACAATCGATTAATCGTTCATGACAAGTCTTCCAATAATCGATTACGATATCTCATCCGATTCCCAACACTATCAGTTCCCCTCTTAAGGGATAGTTGACCTAAATACTTAACAACAAAATAAGAAAATGAAAACACTGTCATGAAGATTTAATTAAAATAGAAGCAATTTGTTCAAATATTATTGTGAGATTGATATTAATGAATAACAAAAAACATTTTCCGCTATTTTAAGAAAAAGGGTTAATGATTCAAAATGGTAGATAAATCCTTGTCTACAGGACCCATCACTATCTGAAGATCTTTAGGAATCATAACCATCTACAGATCTATAGGACTTGTCAGTTCATACAGATCTATAAGACCTGTCACTTGATTGATTGATCAGGTTTTACGTTATCCAGGAGATGATGAGAGCTGTCACTATATGTAGAACTTAAGGTCCTGGCACTGCCTATCACTACCTGAACACCACCAGGATCATTGTCATCTGTAGATCTGCAGGTCCCCTCACTATCTACAGGATCTTTTACTTTCTGTAGATCTGTTGGACCCATTAGTGTATGTAAATCTACAGATCACTGTACATCATTATCTGAAGACCTCCAGGATCATCACCTGTCACCATCTGTAGATTTGCAGGACCCGTTCACTATCACTAGATCTGTTGGACCCTTTAGTGATAGTGAATCTACAAATCACTGTACATCGCTATCTAATGTTGAACCCATCAGTGTATGTGAATCTACAGATCACTGTATATGTACATGGCTAACCCATCAGTGTATGTGAATCTATAGATCACTGTACATCGCTATCTGTAGATCTGCAGGTCCCCTCACTATCTACAGGATCTGTCACTTTCTGTAGATCTATATGACCCACCACTATTTGAATTTCTATAGGACCCATTGATCACATGTAGATCTACATGGCTTTGTATGACAAGAGTTCCCTATTCAGTGTTCAGATATTTATGTAAAATTTGGCAAGTAAGTGATGTTTTTCTACTCTTGAGCAACATGAATGATGTGGGTTTTTTACAGATGAGCAACATGAATGATTTTTCTTTTCTCCTGTTGAGCAACATGAGTGATGGTTTTTTTTTTACAGTTGAGCAACATGGCAGAGTCAGGAGAGCAAGTGGAGGTTGGTCAGCAGGAGCTAGAAGAAGATGAGGATGATGAGGTCAACCCAAATTACAAGGCTCCTGAGCAAAAGTCCATGAAGGAAATTTTAGAGGCAGACAAAGATGATGAGAGTTTGGTGAACTACAAGAAACAGTTGATGGGGGAGAACACTCAAGACCTAGTTATTGGTATGATGTGTTGTTCTTCTATTTGGACACAGGCACACTAAGTGTCGCCTCAATTATTTTTGTTTTACAGACGAAAATTGTTTGTGGTAGCTTTGTACTAACAATTATTATGATAGTAAGTTGACTGCCACATGGACATTTAGGCTTAATTTTCAACAATAGATAATACAAATAACTGTCCTCTGGTGACAAGTGTAAATTTTGACTATCTCAAAGATAATACATACACAAGGGTTTCAATAAGATTTCAGGTTGTGTGTCTCCAGAACGAATTTGTTAATTTCAGTATATTTCATAATACCTTATTACCATTCTTTTACATTTTTTCATGGAAGTAGATTGTGAAATATCTATAGTAGGAGAGTACTTTTACTGGCTACAAATGAAACCCCTAATAGAGTGTTATTTTGGCTACAAATGAAACTCCTAATATTAACTGATACATTTTGTATTGATGGTATATATTCATTGGAGCACCAAATACACATGTATCATGAAAATGAAATGGGAAAGCTGATAATTTACTTTTGTTTAGCCCACCATCATCTGGTGGTGGGCTATTCTAATCACCCTGCGTCAGTGGTCCGTCGTTTGTCCTTAAACAATTATTTTTATTGCTAATTCTGAGGAAGTACCAGAGGGATCTTTCTTAAATTTTATATGTAGGTTCCCCTTAGTCCCTAGTTGTGCAGGAAAATTTTTGGGACTGATCGGATAAACAATGGCCGACAGGCAGCCATCTTTGTTTTTGACAGTGAAGGTTTGTTATGGCTATTTCTCAGGAAGTATTGGAGAGCTCCATCTTTATTTATATATGTAGGTTCCCCTTGGTCTGTAGTTGAGCATGTTTAATTTTGAGAATGATCAGATAAACAAAATGGCCGACCGACAGCCATCTTCGATTTTTGAAATTGAAGGTTTGTTAGTACTATTTCTCAGGAATAACTTGAGGGATCTATCTCAAATTTTATATTTACATTCCCCTTGATCCCTTGTTGTGCATGTTATATTTTGAGACTGATCATAAAAACAAAATGGCTTAAGGAAGAACTAAACAGATCTTTCTTATATTGAAATGATCGAATCTATTTCTTTCACATTAAGTACTGTACTAGTAACTAGTACTATGTGAAATGACAAACTCACTTTGAAGGTTGTCTTTTATACACATCAGTATTTAGTTAAGATCAAAAGACATGACTCGGTCAAACAGATTAGAGAAACAAAGAGAAAAGAAGAGAAAAGATTGCACTGACAAAGAACTCATAAAGATGGTACAATGGTGGGCGCCAAGATCCCTCTGGGATGTCTTGTTTTAAACCGTTAAGTTTATTTCTAGCTTGCCTAGTCTGAAGGACAAAGATGATCTTATAACTGTATTGTGCTGTCTGCTGTCAATCATCTGTCAATAAACAATTTTACAGCAGCATGAAGTTCAAGTTATTAGTTTAGATCAGAAGTTACCACAAGATGCATTTACTGTTTACATGACTCAATCAAACAGATAAAAGAAAAGAAGAAAAAGGTTAAACTGACATTGACCTAATGAAGATGGTACAATGGTGGCCACCAAGATCCCTCTAGGATCGCTTGTATTTGTATGTTCCACTTGATAAAATAGCCCTGGTCCTAATGAGAATTCATCTGTCATTGCAAAACAATGTGTAATTATATATAAGAATTACAAATAGTTAGCACATTGCTATAAAGTGATGTTTGTCCTGGTGGCCAAAAACATATAACATTGCGAGGTTTAAGTTGATTTACAAGATTCACAGATTTCCTAAATTGGACTGGGTAATAGCAATATTCCCAAGAAACCCCCAAAACAGATGGTTGTTCCCCCAGTTTTCAAGAATTGCCTTATGTAACTAATTAGGGCCCCGTATCAGAGATACGAGTGCCCTATAGTAATCACTCTGTCTGTCTGTCCAAAAATTTTGTTCCTGGCTGATAAACTTTGGTATTTATTGAACGATGTACATGAAACTTAGTCAAGATGTTCAGTTCACAAAAATACACATTGAGGTAAAAAGTCAAGGTCAAGGGTCAATGTCACTAGGTTCAAAGGTCAAGGTCAAATTTTGCATCTTTTCACTGATGAACATTTTGTTATGACATGATGAAGCAAAGTTGATCAGAATTAAACAAGGAGTCAACCTGACCAAATGTCAAGGTCAAATGTCAAGGTTAAATTTTGTATCTTTTCACTGGTGAACATTTTGGTATGACACTTTGAAGCAATGATGCTTAGAATTAAACAAGGAGTCAACTGACCAAAGGTCAAGGTCATCGGGTCAGGGGTCAAGGTCAAATTTTGTAGTTTTTCACTAATGAGCATTTTATGACATTATGAAGCAAAGTTATTCGGAATAAAACAAAGAGACACACTGATGTAAAAAGTTGAGGTCAAAGGTTAAGGTCATTAGATTCAAAGGTCAAGGTCAAGTTTTGCATCTTTTCACTGATGAACATTTTGTTATGACATGATGAAGCAAAGTTGATCAGAATTAAACAAGGAGTCAACCTGACCAAAGTTCAAGGTCACTTGGTCAAAGGTGAAGGTTGAATTTTGTATCTTTTCCCTGATGAACATTTTTTTATGACATTATGCAGCAATGTTGGTCAGAATTACACAAGGAGTCAATTGACTAAAGGTCAAGATCACTGGGTCAAAGGGTCAAAGGGTCGAGGTCAAGTTTTGTAGGGGTCACTGATGCACATTTTGTTATGATATTATGAAGCAAAGTTGGTCGGAATTATAGAATTAGTCAACTGACCAAAGATCAGGGTCACTTGGTTAATGGTCAAGGTCATTTGGGTCCAAATATGAAAGACAAAGTGGATCTCTGACTTTGACCCTGGCTCTTGATGGAGGGGGTATATAAGGTGAAATAAAACAAATCAAAGCTAACAAATGAGTATTGCACCAGTATTTACATTTCTGTTAGTCCAGCAAATATGGAGGTGGAAGGAAACAAGACTCACATCATAGTACATGTAAAATGTATATTTTTCTTCCTTGAAATTCTTTTGAAGTCCAAATGTCAAACATCAAGCTCAGCTGTATGGGCAGATTGCTTCTTGATGATTATGGTGGGATATATTGCCACAAGACGGGGCCCTTAATGACCTGTCAGTGTTCTAGTTATCTAGGGGTACGGAATCTTGAAAATGTATCAAACATATCCCCAAATCTGAGCTTCCAATGGAATATGAAATAGTACCTGTAAGGAGAATGAACACCAACCTCCTTCTAGGCTTTCTTGTTGAACTAAGGATCAATGAAGTAATCTGATGTGCTTTCTGGCGAGGTTCTACAAAATACTTGTTTGCATACAGCATAAACATTTTGCAGGCTAGGGGTTAAAAAGTCGTTGTTACACCAGCTTTAAAAAAGGCATAATACCTGCTTTCTTTTTCAGATCCATCTATAGAGGCTAAGGTAATCCTGAAGACACTGGAACTTCGTTTTGAAGACGCACCAGATGATAAGCAATCAATGGATCTAACAGGTACATTTCTGAATAAGTTAATACAATTTCATTTTAGGAATGATGCGATTCATGGTAAGTATCTCCAGAAAGCAAATGCTGTTTTGACTTCATGAATGTTGAAAAAAAAAAAATCCTTCCTTAAATCTACATTTTTAAGTGCTATGAATTTTCTGATTTTCTATCTGGGGGGCAGGCAATGCAGTCGAGAGAATAGTGTGTAGCCGTAGTGAAATATAAAACTTTCACTGCAGCGTACATGCCATATCTAACAATTTGGCATGAGACTCCTGAAAATTACTAAATAAATATTCTTCAAGGCTTGAGACACATTTCTCACAAATTTAAATCAGTGTCACGAAAAGAAACAATTTTTGTCTATCATAGTGAAGAAACAATAGCTACATGGATTCACACTGCCAGCCACTTAGATTACAGGACCAGGCCAATTAGCCGCGTAGGTCCAGCCACTTAGATTACAGGACCAGGCCAATTAGCTGCGTAAGTCCAGCCACTTAGATTACAGGACCAGGCTAATTAGCTGTGTAAGTCCAGCCACTTAGATTACAGGACCAGGCCAATTAGACCCGAAGGTCCAGCCACTTAGATTACAGGACCAGGCAAATTAGACCCGTAGGTCCAGCCACTTAGATTACAGGACCAGACCAATTAGCCGCGTAGGTGTATAAGTTGTGAATGGCTGGCTGATTTCGCCATGCATGGCTTCGTGTCATGCTCACTGATGTGTAAACTGTTGAGCAATTAAATCAGGGATCCCAAGTCCAGTGGGGACTAGTCGCTAAAATTACTCTAAAGCGCTTTACAACATATGAATAATAGTATTAGTTATAATTGTGAAACAAAAACAAAGACTTTCAATCACTTTTAACAAGGATCCTTATTAATTGAAAGTGAAACCAATTACATGCTTCTTATGGTCTTATATGGAAATTTGTAGGCATGAAAAGACCTAGCATTCACATACTTTGCTATCATAGTGAAGAAACAATAGCTACATGGATTCACACTGCCAGCCACTTAGATTACAGGACCAGGCCAATTAGCTGCGTAAGTCCAGCCACTTAGATTACAGGACCAGGCTAATTAGCTGCGTAAGTCCAGCCACTTAGATTACAGGACCAGGCTAATTAGCCGCGTAAGTCCAGCCACTTAGATTACAGGACCAGGCTAATTAGCCGTGTAGGTCCAGCCACTTAGATTACAGGACCAGGCAAATTAGACCCGTAGGTCCAGCCACTTAGATTACAGGACCAGACCAATTAGCCGCGTAGGTGTATAAGTTGTGAATGGCTGGCTGATTTTGCCATGCATGGCTTCGTGTCATGCTCACTGATGTGTAAACTGTTGAGCAATTAAATCAGGGATCCCAAGTCCAGTGGGGACTAGTCGCTAAAATTACTCTAAAGCGCTTTACAACATATGAATAATAGTATTAGTTATAATTGTGAAACAAAAACAAAGACTTTCAATCACTTTTAACAAGGATCCTTATTAATTGAAATTGAAACCAATTACATGCTTCTTATGGTCTTATATGGAAATTTGTAGGCATGAAAAGACCTAGCATTCACATACTTTGCTATCATAGTGAAGAAACAATAGCTACATGGATTCACACTGCCAGCCACTTAGATTACAGGACCAGGCCAATTAGACCCGAAGGTCCAGCCACTTAGATTACAGGACCAGGCCAATTAGCTGCGTAAGTCCAGCCACTTAGATTACAGGACCAGGCCAATTAGCCGCGTAGGTCCAGCCACTTAGATTACAGGACCAGACCAATTAGCCGCGTAGGTGTATAAGTTGTGAATGGCTGGCTGATTTCGCCATGCATGGCTTCGTGTCATGCTCACTGATGTGTAAACTGTTGAGCAATTAAATCAGGGATCCCAAGTCCAGTGGGGACTAGTCGCTAAAATTACTCTAAAGCGCTTTACAACATATGAATAATAGTATTAGTTATAATTGTGAAACAAAAACAAAGACTTTCAATCACTTTTAACAAGGATCCTTATTAATTGAAATTGAAACCAATTACATGCTTCTTATGGTCTTATATGGAAATTTGTAGGCATGAAAAGACCTAGCATTCACATACTTTGTTGCACTGTTACCTTACCATGATTGCTTAAATATCAACATGATCAATATCAGCCCTCTTGTTAGTCTTGTCATTTATGTTTCTAATTCATTTACTTTGTTGTTTTTTCTCCAGGGGACCTGTCAACCTTGAAGGAAAAAAAGTTTGAAATAGTTGAGGGCAGACCATACAGAATTGCTATTTTGTTTAATGTCCAAAGGGATATTGTGACAGGTTTAAAATATAGCCATATTTGCAAGAGGAAAGGCGTAAAAGGTGTGTTTTCAGTATTATGGTTCTGAGGGAAAAATAAATTTCCAGAATACTTACTGCTTAATTGATATTTAAAACCTTTTCAGATTCTGTTTTTAGCCTGTAATTATAGTTATTGCTTACTTGATAAAAGCATATCAATTTATTGAATCAGTTGAATCTGAAAAACTCTAAAACTTATTGTAAGCACTGTGTACACTGATGCTAGTGTATAATAAGAAATAGTCTGGTGTTTCCCATTCAATGGCAGTGAACATTTATTGAGAAAAGGTGATCACAAATAAATAGTAATGGGAGATTATTTTTTTTTACAGTGGATAAGAAGCTGTTGATGATGGGAAGTTATGGCCCAAAACATGAGCCGCATTGCTTTCAAAGCGCTGTGGAGGACACGCCCTCAGGATTATTAGCTCGCGGAACATACAACGTGAAAAGCACATTTTTCGACGATGACAAGCATAAATACACTGAATTTGACTGGAAGTTTGAAATTGTAAAGAAAAAGTAAGAGTATCTGAACACCTGAACACTTCCATCGGGAGGTCACGGTTCTATTTTGTCTGTCGGATACAGCTGTCATTTCCTGCTTCAATCATGATCACCTCATGATCACCTACCAACACTTGTCACATGATCAGTGGTCTGTATGAAATTCAATGGCTTGATAAAACTGTACGAGTAATCTCCCTTGCATTTTGACTGGGTATATCAATCGCATCAAAAGATAGGCCTGCAAGGATTGCATTTGAAATGAAGGACAAGAAGTTGACTATTACATATTAACATTGCTGCTGTTGCAAAAGATTATATTAGGAAATGTTCAGACTAGAGAAAATACAGGCAGACTAGTTTGTTATTAATGCTTGCAATGTTTTGAACAAAAAGTAAAGATTAAAAGTAAATTTAAGTATGTATTGAGCTTCATTCTTAATTCCGCTGAATACTTGAGGTGTTTGGAGGTGTCATATTTGTCTTAATTCCGCTGAATACTTGAGGTGTTTGGAGGTGTCATATTTGTCTAAGATGTTTTTTAAGGAACTCAACAAAATGTTAGAAGTGGTATCCTGATTATAATGAGATAACCATGTTCCTGGGTGGTTTTAACATACACTTGAATGCAATAGGTACTTGTAATTGAAATTATTAAGGGAAATTAGAATAATTTTGGATAAAAAGAATTAATCTTTAGTTTCTGAACAGGACAATCTTTGGAAAAAGATTGCTGTGGTGGACATCTGTCTCTATTCATTTTGAATTTTGTACGCCCCAGCTATTTTTTATTCTTTTTTGGTGGGGGTGGGGGGCAGGGGGGTATATAATGTAATCTTGACCTTACAATCACAACCTGTCCTGTCCCCTCCCGTTCTGTCAAGATTCATTGTCATGACACTACAATTTCTTCTCAACAGACTCAAAATTTATACAGAGGTCATGTATGAGAATAGCCTGTCCCATTCTGTCCCGATTTATAAAAAATCTTTAACAAAGTTTACACAAAGGTCAACTATGGGAATACCTGAGGGTCCCAGGTCTATACGAAAGGTCACTGTTGCTTTTTAAATGTCAACCACAAAACCAAGGAGCATTCATACATTTTTCTTGTTCTAGTGAATTGACCTTGATTTCCTTTAAGGTAATAATATATAAAAGGGGGCGAATTTGTTAAAACCCTCCAACAACTTCTTCTGAAGAACTGAATGGTCTAGAGTAATGACAATTGGCATATAGCTTGCTTGAATGAAATTCTACAAGTTTGTGAAAAGAATTGATCTTGATCTATATTCAAGGTCACATGTATCTTATTTGTTGAAACAAATGTCAAATTCCTTCTTCTGATGAAGCAAAAATGTCTAGAGTAATGATATTTGTTCAATAGGTTCTTAGAATGGAGTGCTACGCAAATTGCGGAGAGAAAAACCTTGACCTATTGAAGGTCACTGAGGTTAAATTTGTTGATATTTGGTTGAGTGTACTACCATTACAGAGACATGTCTCGGGTATAATTAATTGATAGGTATATATTTGCATTGGTCACTATATTCACATGTTATGTTGTATGGCACATTTGCTTCTGTCCGATTTCAACTTCAGATATTAAATTGGTATCCATAATTTTTGGCATGCACATTGACATTATCGGCTATATATATTGGCGATAAAATTGATAATGTGGGCTTATGAAATGCAATAGTCAATTTCGAGAAACTAAAGATTAATTCATGTTGTCTTAATATCATAAATTCTTGTTGTTTTATACACATGTATGTACAATGGAGTATAAGTAAGTATTTACAATAAGAATTATTCTTGAGTACCAATAAAAGATTTTGAAATAAAATTTAAAGGCTAGAACCCATGGTATTGAAGCGTGAATGAAAAGATATGCTGTCTTGTTTAGTCATGAATATTAATTTGTGTGTTGACAAATATTTTTTGACTTTACTAAGCTTTATGTAGTCGCCCTAAAGTGCTTTTATATGTAGATGCTTATACTGCCCAATATACATATAATCTCCGAGTCCTACCTGTACATGTAATTCTACTGTTGAAGTTTTGTTCTGTTTTCTATGCTATACATAACACTTATTATAATAACTTCATTAATATGCAATAAATTTATGATTTATTTTCTTGATTTTAGTAGAAGTTTTTGTTGATTATATCTGAACTTGTGTGTATATCAGATTTTAAAAAAACATTATTTTTCTTTATTTTTCAATTTAGAATTGTAAATAATGGAGTGTGTTGAACATGTTGTTTCTCAGGGAAGGTTTAAACACATACATCCTTCACTGTCAAATCAGTGTGATAGAGAAATTAAAACAATGAACATAAGTTCATGTTATATGGGAAAGCTAAATTGACAAGCATCCCCCTATTCCACAAATAATGATTGACTATCCAAATAGAAGTTTTACCCTGGATTCTAAATAATAATATACTGCTCTAGACTTTCTCTGTTGTGTGTTTTAGATTAGATATTGTAGAACTTGACAAATTATAAAGATGAAAATATAGACAAATGTTACATGATTTAATCTGCAGTTAAAGGGCATTAATAGATCTAAAGAAAAGCTGTATATTATGTGATATAACTCTATATAACATCAAGATTTAGTTGTCCTGTGAATATATACACAAGAACAAGGAATGTACTTATGAACATATATCTTTGTATAGGAAAAACAAGATCCAATATCAAACTTACCCAGACAAACACTATTACATTTAATTGTAATTAGCTGATGAAAATGAAGCTAAGAATTGGTTGGTAATGATAAATATTGATAAAAATTACGTTTACAAAAATCAATGTACTGTAATGTGGAAATTATAAATACAAATACATGTAATATAATGTGGCTATAAGCTCAACTGGTCCAAATTAAAGGGCCAACTGAGCTTATGCTGTGGCACAGCTTTCGTCGCTCATTCATCAACTTTTTCTATAAACCACTTATAAAGAACCAAGAGACTTAGAGTCATGATATTTGGCTGGTAGCTTTTTTTGACTGTGCCCGACAAAGTTTGCGAACAAAAAAATGACTTTGCCCTACTTTCAAGGTAAAATCTGTCAAAAACTTCAAAAACTTCTTCTGAAAAATCAAAAATCACTTATTATCATGATATTAGGCTGGTAGCTCCGTAAGATAAAGCCCAACAAAGTTTATAAGTAAAAATAACCTGGACCTGTATTCAAGGTCATAGGGTCAAATATATCGAAAACTTCAAATGACTTCTTAAGAATAATGGAATGACCTGGAATCATGATATTAGGCTGGTAGGTTCCGTGGAAAGAGCCCCATACAGTTTGAGAATTGTTTTTTACTTTGGCCTACTTTTAAGATCATAGAGGTCAAATATGTCAGAATTGTGGTTATAATATAAACAGAAACATCTGTACTGTAAACATGGCAATAATAAATACACTAACTTCTGTTTACATGGTTAAGATAAATACACTAACTACTGTTAACATGGTTAAGATAAATACAAACGTACCGTAATTGTGGTGATTATAAGAACCGATACACATGTTCTTTAGGCATGGTAGTAATGCAGATACAATTGTACTGTCAACAAAAGGCTCATTCCCTATTTCTTCAGTTTTATTTCGTTTCTATTTTACAGACCATTACAAACATGTTTTATCCTGCTAATTTAACAATGTACCAATGAACATTTTTCCGATTGGAATGCAAAAACAATTCCTCCACCTATACAGTCAAGTGATTAAAGCATGATTGCTTAAATATTACGTTGATATGCATGTGATAGACCCCCCAGGGCTGTGTTGTATCACCAATAGGTCAGGAATAAATCCAGGGAGTTTGAGGAAAGGTTGGCCTTACTAGTTTGTGGAATAACTTATCATATCGAACAATTTCAGCATGATCACCTTGAATATTGCTTCACAAGTAGTTCCCATAGTGTGGGACACTTTCTAAGGAATTTCAATCAGTCACACAAAATGAAACTAGATAGTACGTCTAATATGTAATAGGGATATTCATTCTAACCATTCCATTATGCAACAATTCCAGTTTTTATATATTAAAAAAAAAAAGGTGGGAATAGATGAAAACTGAAAATTATATCTTTGGTTTATTTTTGTTGTATTTACAATTTGAATGCATTGGTTAAAATTCATGATAACATTTATTTTTTGAAAAAATATCCTGTAGCATCATGGAATGTGTCTCTGGTATCACCAATGTGTTACATAGTCTTTATGAACGAAATCTTTTTTTTATTAATTCTTTGATGTCCAATGTATATAATTGGTTAGGTGCTATTATCACCCACCGGTTCTGTGTGTACCGACTGATACTACTGATATTTCACTTTTTTGTTCGCTTTTTTTTTTATAAATTATACATGTATTCATCCTGAAAACTTCCTTAATGGATCACCACAAGATGACCTTACCCTATCAAATATACAAAACATTCTTTTTTAAATGGTTTATTTCTATGTTGTAAGAAATTGAAAAAAGACAACCTGGTGACCAAACTTTACATACATATGTGTAGATCACATAGCAGGCCTCATTGCAGGCAAATCTAGCATCTGCAGATGTGCCAATTTTTACCCTAAAAAGGCGTTTAAGATCTTTGTGATTCATTAGATACCAGAGGTTTATATTTTTGTGGCCGAGTTCCATACTCCTATGTCTGATGTAGTACTTTCTATAGTGGGTATCTACAGCACAGTCTTGTGCTTTAGGGCTATTATACATTGTACCTACGTAAATTTAAAAGTGAGTATTTTCTAGGAAGAAGAGAAACAAAGTTAAACAATGATAAAAAATTACTGTCTTATTTCACACTTTTGTCTGAGGTCAGCAATCCAAATGGGGTCATTAAACTTACCAAGCTAACTCTCGCTGTACAGTAATGGAAGTCGAGTAATGTTAATGATTTTCATGTACGTACTCTTCAAATCTTTCACATACTTACTCCTGAAGAAATATAATATTGATTATAATAAACATAAAAGTGTAATGACATTTCAAATTTGTTTATTATTTCCCAAACATTTATTTGAAATTTTACATAAGAACGCTTGGATGTTTTTTACCAACCAATATGCATGTAGGTACTAGTTCTATGTAACATTGTGATATTTACTGATTATCTGTTGTGGTCGTCAGTTGTTTACTGACCTTTTGACACAGATTAACAACGAGGGGTTAATGTCATCAAAAATTAGTGGGGTAGTCTCCCCTTGATGGTATATCTGGTCGTTACAGACAAGACCTTGTCTCTAAATCTATTCACCATTAATACCTGTAGGCACATTGAACTGCTTTCTTTTGGCATACATAGTCAATATAAATGCCAAATTCAAACTAAATTGCACTAAATTCAATACTATAATATACCATTCTTAAAATATTTTAATGTCATGGATAATTGAAATTTATTCATGAAAAATTAGCATTTTGATTAGCATTAATCAAACAGACATCTTCTAGGGAGGGTCAGTAATATCTTGCACTACAATTACAACATCATGATAGTGACTCAACACCTGTGGTATATATAGCTGATGTGAATGTCCGCTGAGTTTTGGTAGGGTTATATAGTTGCAATTCCATAAAGAAGTAAATAAATTGCCAATGTCTTGCCTGATGATGGATGATATAGAAATTGTTTTGTATATGAATCTCACCCTGTATTATGACAATTGAGGTGATAACAGTTAACATACCACCTATACAAAGAAAGTATGGTAGTACTTGATTGTTTGTCCTGCAGCTTCAAACATAAGGACTTACATGTTATGTGGAAACCTTTTGTCATTGAAAGGGATTCAGGCTGTGGTAGAACCAGTCGCAGGACAAAATCTCCTGAGAACTGATACAGGTTATCATAGAGTAACAGTCGCCACACATAATCTGCTGAGTGGTTGGTCTATCTTCATAGCAGGTCCATCCACCAGTGATGTGTGGTGTTCATAAAAATAAAGTTCATTTCAAGTATATGTGCTAAGATTTAATAAATAAAAACTAAAAACATCAAATTTTATTTTGTTCAGTCAAAGAAGAAGTTTGCTTTATAGTGCCATAGTCTTCCTTCAATATGATGGGATTGATATTCCCCATTATCACTACTGGAAAAATGATAATACTGATAAATAAATTAGTCATACTGGAATTAATAACAAAAATACCAGTAAAATGATAAAACTTGTGTTAAGGATAATACTAGTATAAACGATAATACTGGAGTACTTACTGGTAAATAATCAATTGAAAGGAACAAATCTAAGTGGTATTTAAAATTGTTTGCAAATCAGTTGATTACATTTCATATTAGTTTGGTGCTGTAAGTTACATATACCTGTACAGATATACCTGTAAAACCCTGCAACTATCTTAACTTTGTTGCCATAGCGATGTAGAATATGTGGTCTGTTTGTTTCTATGCAACTGTAACAAGTTTAGTATGTAATAAGAGATATGACATTGTATATACATAGTTATGATGTGTGTACAATAGAATCATGACATTGTATATACATAGTTATGACGTGTGTACAATAGAAACATGACATTGTATATACATAGTTATGGCGTGTATACAATAGAATCATGACATTTTATATACTTAGTTATGACGTGTATACAATAGAATCATGACATTGTATATACATAACTATGACGTGTGTACAATAGAATCATGACATTGTATATACATAGTTATGACGTGTGTACAATAGAATCATGACATTGTATATACATAGTTATGACGTGTGTACAATAGAATCATGACATTGTATATACATAGTTATGACGTGTGTACAATAGAATCATGACATTGTATATACATAGTTATGACGTGTGTACAATAGAATCATGACATTGTATATACATAGTTATGACGTGTGTACAATAGAATCATGACATTGTATATACATAGTTATGACGTGTGTACAATAGAATCATGACATTGTATATACATAGTTATGACGTGTGTACAATAGAATCATGACATTGTATATACATAGTTATGACGTGTGTACAATAGAATCATTTTGCTATAGTTTTGATAACACATATCTGTTTAATTTCCGTAACTGCTGTTGTTAATATTGGAGATTTAGTCAGGGTTGATATTCTATTGCCATTACTATGCCAAAATCTGGTGAACCGTTTGGAATTGTAAACTACCGGTACTATATCTAGATATTACACCATGGTTCGTAGTTACAACTATAGGTGTAGTCTTCAATGTCTAGATCATCCTTGTTTTATGATTATTTCACATCATAATAAAACATAAAATCATGATAATCATCATTATGATAATGTGATCATGTTAATCCACCTTGTGATACTGGATGGTGCAGTGTAATTTCCTCGTTGCTGCTGTTTCAATACAATAATCACTTCTCGCTGTTTTATTTGGCATGATTGTGATGATCGACGTTAAAGGTAATGAAATATATGTCAGCGACCAGGGCCCATTTGTTTGAAACATTGTTAACTCAACAGACCTTTGATCCCCTCTTCAAAATGTATTATTTTTCTGTCTAAAACTGTAAAAGTGTTTTTTAATAAGGTTTATTAATTTTCATTTCTTTGTCTTTAGATGATTATTTCATTTCAACAAATTTTCTCAGACAAAAACAATTGAATAAATGGATTAGACAACAGGCTTAGCCTATATTAATCTTCTCCTAACCGGTATAGATGGACAGAAAACATAAATTTAATACATACCGGTAGCTCAACAAGACACACTCATACACTTACAAACATATAGGCTAGGGTACACTTACAAACATATAGACTAGAACATACAACCAAGTTATAATTATAAGAAGAAGAAACAAACATTATTTGATGACATTTGATAACAAAAAAAATACTTTTTAGCTTATCATATATATGTTTGTACACTCAGACCACACTCCATAACACACGCACACACATATATAAATACGCATTCGCAAACACACACACACACACACATGATTTTTGGAAACTGGCATATGCAGTTTTCGCTATAGATTTGAATTATTATGAAAATATTTGGGATGGATTGTTCTAAGTTTTAAGTCGTGTTAAGCTAACTTTGTTCTGAACATCTGTGCCTTGAAAAAAAAAAAAGTGCTTTGTAAATCATGTAACTTCTTACTCGCTCATCAACTTGCTAATAAAATTAAAATATGTATACCAACCACATTTTCTTGATTCTTTTAAGGCTTTGTTCAGTTTTGCTTTGTCTCATATTTTCATCTAAGTAATAACTTCTAAACTACTTTATTCTTATATAACTTCTGAGATGAATTATGGCCCAACAACATGGTAATACAACTCATATCTGTACTACTAATGTCACAGCAGAGGTCGAAATGGAAATCTGGGGCATTTGTGTAGGGGCTTAGGGCCACTTCCCCACCCGACCACTCTATATTCAACCTTGTTTGAGATGCACTTGTATACCCAAGACAAACATAACAATTTTCATAGAAATCTGTCGTTAAATACAGTGAACAAAGTAATGACCAGGATGTGATGTGATGTAATAACAGTGACTTTAACCTTAAATGATGATGGCAAAGCAAACATGCCTGTAAAGTTTCATGAAACCACGAGTTCAGTTGCAGATTCTGTATTAATTTTGAGCATTTAGCTCATCAGTACAAATGAAAATCTAACTTGGTATTTATCTCGCACCAGTAATGTTTAGTGTGCAAAGAACAAACATATTAAAATTGGCTAAATTAAGCAACAAACCAAATATCGCTATCCCTTGCATTTTGATTATTCAGAAGAAATGGTTTGAAGATTTTTAGCTCACCTGGCCGGAAGGGCTACGAGAGCTTATGCTGTTGTGCACGTCTGGCGACAACATTTAACTATATAAACAACTTCTCAATAACCAAGAGGCTTGGGGTGATCACATTTCACCAGCAGCATGCTGGGATGAAGGGTTGCCGAATTTGTTAGATCACCTGGCCCGAAGGGCAAAGTGAGCTTATGCTGTGGTGCAGTGTCAGTCATCCGTCCATCCGGCTTCAACTTTTTACTTAAAATAACTTCTTCTGAACAATTAAGAGGCCCAGGGTGACAATATTTGGCCAGTAGCATACTGGGATGAAGAGCTACCAAGTTTGTTGAAATGAATGACCTTGACTTATATTCAAGGTCATAGGGTCAAATATGTTTAAAATATTAAAAGACTTCTTCTGAATAACCAAAATGCCCAGGATGATGACAGATGGCCAGAAGCATGCTTGGACGAAGAGCTTCCAAGTTTGTCCAAATGAATGACCTTTGCCCATGTTCAAGGTCACGGGGGTTAAATATGTTTAAAATCTCCAAACGACTTCTTCTGAATAACCTAAAGGCCCAGGATGATAATATTTGGTCAGAAGCATGCTTTCATAAAGGGCTACCAAGTTTTTCCAATGAATGATCATGACCTTGACTTAATTTCAAGGTCACATGGGTCAAATATGTTTAAAACCTTTTAATGACTTCTACTGAATATTCAGAAGGCCTAAAGTGTTGATATTTGGCCAAACATGCTGGAATGAAATGCTTCGAAGTTTGTTCAAATTAATGACCTTAACTTATATTCTAGGTCACAGGGGTCAAATATTTTTAAACCTATAAACTACTTCTTCTAAATAACCAAAAGGCCCAGCATGTTGATACTTGGCTGGTGATATGCTGGGATTAAGGGCTACCAAGGCTGGCCTGATGATGTTTGGCCATTCACATGCCATTCACATGCCATTCACATGCTCAGTTAAGAAACTATGAGGATTGTTCTAATTTATGACGTTTATCCATATTCCAGATAACCGGGATCAAATATGTTGAAAACTTTCAAACAACTTCCTCTGAATAACCAGAAAGCATAGGATGGTGGCCAGTAGTTTGCTCAGGTCATTAGCTATCAAGTTTGTTTATGTGGATGATCTTGACCCTCTTTCAAGGTCACTTATGACAAAATGTGTATAAACCTTAAAATTATCTGATCTCAATAAACAAAACATCTAGGGTGGTAATATTTGGCGAGTTTCATGCTGATATAAGGGCTTTAAATTTATTCATCTTAATGACCTTATTAGACTTTCCAGGTCACGGAGATCAAAGTTTAAATATTTTAAAATGTTCTTTTAAATTACTTGCAACCAGATCTAAGTCCATTTTAGTTTATGAGTCCCAGATAAATAACAGGTGAGCAATGTAGGCCCATTGGGCCTCTTGTTTTAAACATTTGCTCCCTGTGACCTTTAAAGTCGGTTGAGGCCATGATAATGGCTAGATTTAATCTCCCTTTGTCTTTTGGGTCCTGATAAGAAGTTGTTTGAATTTTTTTTAAACATTGGACACCAGTGAGCTTCAAAGTGGGTCAAGGTCATTCATTTGAATAAAATGGTAGCCCATCACCCCAACATGATCGTGGCAAAATAGCATCACCCTAGACATTGGAAGTGGGTCAATGTCATTAAATGAAAAAACTTGGTAGCCCTTCATTCGAGCATGCTACTGGCTAGATATCATCACCCTATGCCTTTTGGTTATTGAGAATAAGTTTTTGAAATACTTTAATTCCAGTGAACTTGAAATTGGGTCAAGGTCATTCATTTAAACAAATTTTGAAGCCCTTCATCCCCGCAGGCTACTGGCCAAATATCATCACTCTGGGAATTTTGGTTATTCTAACGAAGTTGTTCGAATATTTTTCAATCTTTTTAGACCCCATTGACCTTAAAAGTAGGTCAAGGTCATTTATTTGAACAAACTTGGTAGTCTTTCATCCCATTGTGTTAATGACCAGATTCAGAAGAAATTGTTTAAATATTTTAACATATTTGACCACGATGATCCTGAAAGAGGGTCAAGGACATTCATTTGAATATATTTACTTTGTAGCTCTTCAACCATCATGCTATTGGCCAAATATCATCACCCTCGTTTGAAGGAAAATGTTGATGTTAGAAGCACGGACGACAGATGCTGCGCATCGGCATAAAAAAGCTCATTTGGACCTTCGGGCTAGGTGAGCTAAAGAAATGATAAAATAAAGGGCCCCATTAGATACATAGATTTTATTCTGACAAAATTAGGATTTTACAATCCTTTGACAATCAGCTCTTAGAAAGAAAAAAAGTACAAAATAAAACATATTCCATTAGGCTGGGGTCGGAGTTTTTCTGACCTGTTCGGGGATTAGGAATACGTCCCTACATTTTCATAAAAATATCAACAAATAAAACTAAATATGTCACTTAACTTGATAACGTTATCAATAACATAGGTTGTTATGAATAAACGGGTTTTTTTTTACATAAAGATCATTACGGGATGTTGGAATTGGTGACGTACTAACCGCCGAGTATAAAACAACTGACAATAATTCGGATATATAAAAATGTAATTCAAAAGATATACATTGATATCAGGATAAAGTTTTACAAACTCGCGCAGTAGCTTACTATGATCATGGACAATATATTCACAGCATATATCATTATCTTCGTGCCAGGGTGCATTAACCAACCGACCCCCCCNNNCCCTCAAAAAATAAATTAATAAATAAAACAAATTATCAGGTTACAGAGCCAGATCGTGTTATACGATTTCTTTGTTTAAATCAGATCTTTTCAAATGTTTAAATCAATTATCTAAAGTGTCAATTAAATATGTGTCTTGTAAATTTCTTGCAAAGCTGTTGTCATGTCAGATAACGAACATCACATGACAGCTGTCACAATGTCAATTGAAATCCGACTGTTGTCCATTAACGTACCCTGCGCAAACACCAGCTAACCTTTCAGTATCCATCGATCAACAGTAAACATGGCAAGCCAACATCTCGCTATCCTTTACTGCGCCAATTACCAGCCAATACACGTAATCTCGTTTTGATACAAGATACAAGCAATTGTATTTAGTGTCGTAAACACTAGCTCTAAAGAGCTGTTATTACGACAAAACATCAGGAAAAAAACATAGCAAGGTAACAAAACATACTACTATCGCTAAGGTATGAGAGAATGCTTCAAACAGAGCATGCACACATCTCATGCACATATGTTGAAAAATCAAAAGCACTTTGCTGTACATAGTACAATCTAAAATACATACAGAGTGAATGGAGCACGATAAAGGAATAGTAAAGATAATGCTAAGAGGAATAATAAAACATTAGATGAGAATAAGACTAGAAATTTCAAGTAATTACACAACAAACAAGCACTACAAAACACATTACACAACAGACACATTAACACGTAAACGCTACAAGTAAATGATGTACTGATATACTAAGCGAAATACTAACAGCTACACAAACAAAAACATATAGCACTGCAAGCAAATAATCTATAACGATACAGCAAGCAAACCATATGACATCAAAGCATTAAAAGCAAATTACACAGCAAGCAAAGCACTACAGGCAATTCATATAATTGACAGAGTTAAGTCAACAAAGCACATGAAATGCAAAGCACTTCAAGCAAGCTAAACAACAAGCAAGGTACCATAGCACATTATACATCAACAAACAATATGAGCAATATGTAAAAAAAAATAGAGTCTGAGCTGTTAATGTGATGTTTCTTTTAGCCTTAAGCTTGGTGCCACAAATAGCCTGCAATGTATCAGGGTTGGCTGCGCAGCCTTGGTGCCAACACAAATGGCCTGCAATGTATCGGGGTTGGCTGCGTCGGATATATAGCTGCTGATGAGGTAGCTGATCATGAGTCGGTTAGAGGGTCATTATAACATTCTGAAGTCCTGGGTTCGAATCCGGTGTAGCTACTTAGGACACTCTTGTTGATGTTGCTGATTATATTTTGTTTGTTTCACTTTTATTATTTTTCAGAAAAGTCTCGTTACGTATGTTTGTTTATACGTAATTTGATTTGTCAAAGCGCCGGAAAACCCGTTTCCAGTGCGTAGTTAGTTTTTGGCAGTGGTCCAAGGGTCCTTATAATATCCTCGATCTAATATATTAATTCAACTTATGCGTTAACCTAATGTAAAAGTGTTTTCGACTATGTTGAACAAAGTACTACTTACGCAGAGAGTTAAAACAATATATTGGGGAAAAAAATCATCAAATAAATGATTCGGGCACAAAGAAAAGATAATCTAGGGCAAAATATTTACAAAGGAAAATGAGAACCGGGAATGTGACGAGGAAACAACAACACACTTTAATGAACATGGTCAGAAACATCGACCTTCATATATTGCACGAGGATAGTACGGATTCCTATCAGATTATGATGCTGCCATAAAACTTGCCTATTGTCGCCATCAACATAAAACTTTGTTTTGTACGTTTATCAGACGACAGATAGCATGGAAATTATGATATTCGGAGCAATCTTCTGGGAAACAAATCAATTGCTACATGAAAATGCCATAGATTGGGAATGCGAAGAAGTTACCATCAAGGAAGGGAAAGCTCACGGTCGGCAAGAAGCGAGCGGATCCTGATTGTCATAATGTAAGACTCAGGTAAAGGGCTGGTGTAGAAGAGTCTAGCTGTAGTTTCTTTGATATGATAGACATGGCTTAAACATTTCTTGTTGGACAGACTATCATCAATACATATGAAAGTGATATTGAAGGACCTTGAGTAATCGGCTACAAATCATGACGTACCATCAGATTAAACTTATGACGTAAATGACCGAATGGTTTCCGATTGACGTTTTCTGCCTGACGGATCTGGTAGCTATAGAAACGTCCGTATTAAACCCCTTTCGGTGTGCCGTCTGCATACTCTTAGCAACAGTTTAACGCTCACGGGATTTCGTGAATGACTTATCCGAGATTTTGCCCAAGATTTCCATTGTCCACAATGCGATCTATTTCGTCCCCTATCGAGCATTTGTGGGACGAACTGGACAGAAGGGTCAGACAGGAAGCGTGTCAACGTCACAAACAACGTCTCTCATCTAATGCTGCTCAGTCTCAGCCTCAAAGGACAATACACACCTTGGAGCAGCTCATGCCTTATTAGGAAATGGCTAATCTAACGGGGAACAGTTGTTTATCGTTATCAAAACAAAAACTACTGTGAAAGTACGCCGAAGATATTAGGGTATGATGGACAGAATAAATACGATTAATCAGGTGTAGACTGAACCGGTGTATGAGGGATATGCGGAACAGAAGACTAAATTGATTAGGCTGAATTGATAGTTAGACTAAGTTGATAAAATAAAAGCTGAATTATATGGTGTCCCGTTAAACAAGACTGAAATTACTACAAACCAAAACGGATAGTTAAATTAAAGTACTTTTTGTATGGAATATCACAAAAACGTGATCGAAATATTACGGTTTACACGCAACTCAACAAAACCAGGGAACGTTGACAGGAACATTTGCATGATATCGGATCAAGTATACTTCCTTACATCAGTCTGGGTATAGGAGTTCTTGGTTCCTTTAATAACCATCTTCTTAAGTTGTCAATTCTTCAATTCGTGTTTTTTATGCATTTTATAAAATGGCAAAATAAATTGTCAGCTTTTTATTGATTGTTTATAATGAGATCATCGTTGTAAGAGATATCGCAGTCTTGTTTTCTCTGTATTCAGATATCTCCTATGAGACCTTATGCACAGGGACCTGAGAACTTTTTTTTAAAGCCCATACACATGACAATATGTGGGAGACTATAACATACTTCACAGTACACTCATCCTAAACATTCCATACCCATTTCATGTTAACCATACTCATTTCATATACCCAGTTTTCTAAGTATTGGGTCTGTAGAGAATATTAATCTGACTTACTGATCGTGTGTACCATCATAACAGAGCATGTTAATTTATGACATATTTATTTCAAACGTTTCATATACACTTATACACACCATAGATCTGTGCAGAACATGCATATCAAATATTTCATNGATTTCAAACGTTTCATATACACTAATACACACCATAGATCTGTGCAGAACATGCATATCAAATATTTCATCCACCTATATACAAACATTAATATTAACATTTCATATCTGTATAGAAACACTCATATTAAACATTTCGTACACACCATACAACTGAATGCAACAGTTATATTAAGTAATTCATTAACATCATACAACTGTATGCAACGTTCATATTAAACATTACATACACACCATACATCTGTATAGAACATTCATAAATTAACATTTCATATCTGTATAGAAACACTCATATTAAACATTTTATACACACCATACAATAGTATGGAACATTCATGATTAAGGATTTCATACACACCAAACAACTGTATGCAACACTCATATTAAACATTTCATACACTCCATATAACTGTATGCAACATTCATACTAAACATTTCATACATACCATACAACTGTATTCAACACTCATATTAAACATTTCATACATACCATACAACTGTATGTAACACTCATATTAAACATTTCGTACACACCATACAACTGAATGCAACAGTTATATTAAGTAATTCATTAACATCATACAACTGTATGCAACACTCGTATTAAACATTTCATACACGCCATACAACTGTATGCAACATTCATATTAAACATTTCATACACACCATTCATAAACACCATACATCGGTATAGAAACATTCATATTAAACATCATACACACCATACAATTGTATGGAACATTCATGATTAAAGATTTCATACACACCATACATCTGTATAGAACATTCATAAATTAACATTTCATATACACCAGTTCTGTACAAAATATTCATCTCTATACATGATGTACATTTAAAGAAATGTATATACATGTATATGAATAGCTCTCACACTGTCATTCAATATATTATACACAAGCTAATACCTCAGTATGCTAGTATATATTTATTAACGCATATGTTATCAATCTATCCAAGATGTCGTTTCAAAACATTGGAATAAAAACTAATTGTATTAGTCATGTGTTGTGGTTTTTTGAAATAAAGAAATAGAGACAAACAGATAATTACTTGAAAAACAAAGACAGACAAAACATAAGTAGACAAGTGCTCAGAGGCAAAGACAGACAAGACACAGGCAAGAACTGCCAGATAGACAGACAAAGACAGACAAAGACAGACACACAGACATATACGCACAAAGACAATCGACACAGAGACAAGGACGACAGATTTGAGGGAGACAGGTCTTACAAAAATCAAAAAGTTGAAATTAAATCATCGACAATTGTTTTATTGACAACATTTGCTCAAAGATCGTAATATCTACTTAAAACAAGTATAAAAGTTTTATATAAACTAACTGTCCGAGTTCAAGAGTCCATTAATAGATATGAATGGGTATAGATATAGAAATCTTTTCAATCTAAGTCTAAAGAAGTAAAAAGAAAATCAATTTTCCCCACTATCTGTTAAAACTTTCAAAAGAAGCATCACCTTTAGCGGTAGCTATGTATTTTTTGACATTGTGGTGGTCTTTCAATAAATTGATAAGAGAATTCATGTTAAGTGTGGTTTCAAGACATCTAGTTTTGTAAATGTAATATTTAATGATGATGGTAATTTCATTATCAATTTTACTGAACTCATTTCTAATTGACCAGAACCCAAAAAATAATGATTCTTTATTAATAGTGAAAGGAATCAAATGTGCGTCTAAGAGTATTTCCAAGCTCTGCCGTAAATTTTGGACTTTTGACATTCCCAAAATATGTGAGTTATGGTTTCTGACTCTGATTTACAAAAAGTACAAAGTGGACTTACAACTGTGTTGGGACCTGAGAATTTGTTACAGCTATATTTGAACTAAGATGTTCAGGGTAACAAATTCTGTAACAAATTCTCAGGTCCCTGTGACCTTAGGTGGTACTCGTTTGTACCTGTCATCTTTGGCATACACTTTTAATATCGACGTGACGTCACATTGATAACAGGTATGTAAACACGGACTGAGATAGTCTAGATAGATAACACAATTTCGTGATATAAACTATATAATATATATATATACGGTATTTGTTGGCAAGGTCCTATCCAAAATAAATATATATATATATATAATTAAGTGCATGTTAAAATCGTTTCGTGAAATTAGAATTTATTTATATTTCAAATGATTTCTAAAGACGGTTCGTGACATACTGGTAGCATACAGGTAAATAAAAAGCGATGCGCTTGCGCAGATCGATAGATAAGAGAGTATCAGAGGGGGCGGTACGAAACACTCAGGTGTACACGAGTAAAACAGTAACATGGCGGTCCTAGACAGAAGTAGGGGTGGATACAGAGTGTTCGTCGGGGATTTGGGCAGTCGAGTTGGAAAACATGAATTGGAAAGGGAGTTTGGAGTTATGGGAGACATCACAGATGTCTGGGTCGCAAGGTAAAATGTAGTGACATCGTTGTTTTATCAGTTGTCCAACTCTGATAAGGTTCGCTATCATCTGGCGTACTACACGGCCGGGGACACACGATACTCATCAAATTTGTACTGTCCCTTATTATTTCATCACAATAATGTATTCTGTTTTTTATAATTATTCTGACAAACACATGAATAATTTTCTATTTGTTAATTACAAGTTAGTTCTTATATGCATAGAAGTGACATTTGCCATCAAAAAGCTAACCAGAAATGGACATGTTAGCTTGACGTCACACATGGTTAGTAAATTAATTGAAATTTACGTATCAGTATCAGAAACTAATGTTGATGCTTGATCTATTGTCAACAAAGATCACATTATCAGTCAGCACATTGACAGTCAGCACTGGTCATCTATTTAACCTGGACTTTATAGTCATGAAATGACTTATCAAGTTATCTCCACAAAATTAAAAAAATATTCACAAATTATTTCCTGATTTCAAGCTTTCTATATATGATTTTATTTGCAGTATTATATGTGGCCATATACAGTAAAGTGTAAGATATGCCGGGCAGATCATGGTTTGGTGTTTAAATATGTGCGTGCAGCAATGTCTCAACTCCAATATGTTTTTAGACGTACATGTCAGTCTAAATGTGTTATTTAAAAAGAAATAAAACCCTAGTCTAAAATGTAATAGATTATGTAAACACATTTGAATTACTGTGCAAGTTAACATGTAAATTGTTATTCAGTAAGCTCAGTAATTACTGTACATGTTAGATAGGTCGATGTGTATGTAACAGGTAGATGTGTACGGTAGATGTGGGTAGATGTGTACGGTAGATGTGTACGTAGCAGGGTGTACGGTACGGTAGATGTGTACGGTAGATGTATGTGTACGGTAGATGTGTACGTAGCAGGGTGTATGTAGCAGGTATATGTAGCAGGAGTGTAAATGTATTCTTATAATCATAGGGAAAACCATCTCCATCAATACCTCTCTGAGACTATGCTATGTTGCCTTATTATTACTGGTTCACCCTGATGATCTGCTCCTTCTGATACCTTATCATTTCAAGGTCTTGTAAGTTTTATTCACAGTTTCATGCACTGATAGCACTGAAAGGTGCAATTCAATAGAGCAAAAAAGTGTCAATTTTAACTGGTTATTTATGATAAATAGTATGTATGCCCAAGGTTTGACAAGCCTTGTTTACTCTTTCAGCTTAAAAACAGGGCATTTCTGAAGTATTGAAATATTCTATTGACAGGATATTAACACAAATATAAACCAATTAGACACCCATAGGTAAATACTTCATCAATATTTTTGATTTTGGCTCACATAAATCAGCTGTCAATATTGTACATTTTATCATACATTGTATCTTGACCATATGTAAGATGAGCTTCATGCTCAATATGTTATCAAGAATAAATAAAGCCTTTATTATTATTATTATTATAAATGTTGGAAATCTAAGAAATTATATGACAGATTCAAATGAAGAAATCCGATGTATCAGCTATTTCATTTGGTTTGGTTCAGGTTTTTGGACCCAGATATACAAAGCTTTGGTAACTTTTAGAAATTAAGTAACATTTTCTGACATGTTTTTCATGCCTTAGTTATAATATTCTATAATTTAGACGTATGTTTTTTTTCTGGTTACTCCTACTTTGTTGTTTGGTTATTTTTAAAACCTGAAAATCTAATTGAGTTTATTTTGTAACATAGCTCTCCTTCAACAGATAATCTTATTGCCATTAGGATCCCTCTTCCACTGACCGTTCAGTCTGACCGACTGTCCAGATTCCATTATGATGTTTACCACTGTCCAATGACTGAATCTCACTAGTCTTGTTTACATTAGAAATCACTTTGATTTTATCATGATTAACAGACCTGATATAAGGTGCATTTGTCCTCAGGGCTCGACGGCCTGATTGTAGTCTACAATCTCACTGGGAACTGTTGTCCTCGCTAAAACTTTCTATTATGTCATGTTAACAGTAGTCATTTTCAATTTTACATTATCACATAGCAACTCAACCTTTCATAATAGTTCAACTAGACATGTAACGTATTCATAAGTTCAACTAAGGTCATGTGTTTATTAATGTCTTTATGTAATAATAATAGCTTTTCCCATTATGTGTGAAATAGCCAGAAAAGTGTTAACGCCTTTTTTTTTGTTGTAACTATATTTGTTTGGCAGAAATGTGGTTATTGACTGAAGATTTTATTGACCAGGTAGACTTTTGTATTTTATATTTCTTTCAGAATTTATAACAACTCCACCATGTCCATTCACAGTGTTGGTTTTTCTTCCATTGAGCAAAGAAATCAATAAAATACTTATGCATGTGCATAACCTCCTTAAAGTGACCAACCTGATTAAGATGAGCCATGAAAATTGATTAAAAATCTTATTTCACTGATACAAAAAGGGTATATTTGAGCTTATTAATACACATGTGGTAATAAGTGAATAGTTTTATTGTCACAATAAGTATGTTTTAATGCATGTTTTGTTTGACACAATAAGTGGAAACTTTAATTGATGCAATAAGTGAATGTTTTCACTGCCTCAGTAACTGTAAGCTTTGATTAACACAATAAGTGTATTTTGATTGACACAATAAGTGTTTTGATTGACACAATAAGTGTATGTTTTGGTTGACACAATAAGTGTGTTTTGGTTGACACAATCAGTGTGTTTTGGTTGACACAATAAGTGTGTTTTGGTTGACACAATAAATGTGTTTTGACTTGCACACAAAGTGTATGTTTGACTGACACTAGAAGTATTGTTGGTTTTGATTGACAAGAAGTGTATGTTTGACTGACATTAGAAGTATTGTTGGTTTTGATTGACGAGAAGTGTCTGTTTGACTGACACTAGAAGTATTGTTGGTCTTGATTGACGAGAAGTGTATGTTTGACTGACTCTAGAAGTATTGTTAGTTTTGATTGACGAGAAGTGTAGGTTTGACTGACACTAGCAGTATTGTTAGTTTTGATTGACGAGAAGTGTAGGTTTGACTGACACTAGCAGTATTGTTAGTTTTGATTGACGAGAAGTGTATGTTTGAATTGATGTAATACATGTGTGTTTTGGTTGAGTGACACGCTTTGTGACGCCAATAACTATGTTTTGGTTGAGTGACACGCTTTGTGACACCAATAACTATGTTTTGGTTGAGTGACACGCTTTGTGACACCAATAAGTATGTTTTGGTTGTGTGACATGCTTTGGTCCCCCAATAGTATGTTTTGGTTGAGTGACATGCTTGGTGACACCAATAAGTATGTTTTGGTTGAGTGACGAAGAAGTGTTAATGCCTTTTTTTTTTGTAACTATATTTGGTTTTGGTTGTGTGACATGCTTTGTGACACCAATAAGTGTGTTTTGGTTGAGTGGCATGCTTTGTGATACCAATAAGTATGTTTTGGTTGAGTGACATGTTTTGTGACACCAATAAGTATGTTTTGGTTGAGTGACGAAGAAGTGTTAATGCCTTTTTTTTTTGTAACTATATTTGGTTTTGGTTGTGTGACATGCTTTGTGACACCAATACGTATGTTTTACTGACACTAGAAGTATTGTTAGTTTTGATTGACGAGAAGTGTAGGTTTGACTGACACTAGAAGTATTGTTAGTTTTGATTGACGAGAAGTGCAGGTTTGACTGACACTAGAAGTATTGTTAGTTTTGATTGACGAGAAGTGCAGGTTTGACTGACACTAGAAGTATTGTTAGTTTTGATTGACGAGAAGTGCAGGTTTGACTGACACTAGAAGTATTGTTAGTTTTGATTGACGAGAAGTGCAGGTTTGACTGACACTAGAAGTATTGTTAGTTTTGATTGACGAGAAGTGTATGTTTGACTGACTCTAGAAGTATTGTTAGTTTTGATTGACGAGAAGTGTATGTTTGAATTGATGTAATACATGTGTGTTTTGGTTGAGTGACACGCTTTGTGACACCAATAACTATGTTTTGGTTGAGTGACACGCTTTGTGACACCAATAACTATGTTTTGGTTGAGTGACACGCTTTGTGACACCAATAAGTATGTTTTGGTTGAGTGGCATGCTTTGTGACACCAATAAGTGTGTTTTGGTTGTGTGACATGCTTTGTGACACCAATAAGTGTGTTTTGGTTGAGAGACATGCTTTGTGACACCAATAAGTATGTTTTGGTTGAGTAACATGCTTTGTGACACCAATAAGTGTGTTTTGGTTGAGTGACATGTTTTGTGACACCAATAAGTATGTTTTGGTTGAGTAACATGCTTTGTGACACCAATAAGTGTGTTTTGGTTGTGTGACATGCTTTGTGACACCAATAAATATGTTTTGGTTGAATGACATGCTTTGTGACACCAATAAGTATGTTTTGGCTGAGTGACATGCTTTGTGACACCAATAAGTGTGTTTTGGTTGTGTGACATGCTTTGTGACACCAATAAGTATGTTTTGGTTGTGTGACATGCTTTGTGACACTAATAAGTATGTTTTGGTTGTGTGACATGCTTTGGTACACCAATAGTATGTTTTGGTTGAGTGACATGCTTTGTGACACCAATAAGTATGTTTTGGTTGTGTGCCATGCTTTGGTACCCCAATAGTATGTTTTGGTTGAGTGACATGCTTTGTGACACCAATAAGTGTGTTTTGGTTGAGTGACATGCTTTTTGACACCAATAAGTATGTTTTTGTTGAGTGACATGCTTTGGTACACCAATAAGTATGTTTTGGTTGAGGGACATGCTTTGTGACACCAATAAGTGTGTTTTGGTTGAGTGATATGCTTTTTGACACCAATAAGTATGTTTTTGTTGAGTGACATGCTTTGGTACACCAATAAGTATGTTTTGGTTGAGGGACATGCTTTGTGACACCAATAAGTGTGTTTTGGTTGAATGACATGCTTTGTGACACCAATAAGTGTGTTTTGGTTGAATGACATGCTTTGTGACACCAATAAGTGTGTTTTGGTTGAGTGACATGCTTTGTGACACCAATTAGTGTGTTTTGGTTGAGTTACATGCTTTGGTACATCAATAAATATGTTTTGGTTGTGTGACATGCTTTGTGACACCAATTAGTGTGTTTTGGTTGAGTGACATGCTTTGTGACACCAATTAGTGTGTTTTGGTTGAGTTACATGCTTTGGTACATCAATAAGTATGTTTTGGTTGTGTGACATGCTTTGTGACACCAATACGTATGTTTTTGTTGAGTGACATGCTTTGTGACACCAATTAGTGTGTTTTGGTTGAGTTACATGCTTTGGTACATCAATAAGTATGTTTTGGTTGAGTGACAAAAAAGTGTTAATGCCTTTTTTTTTGTGTAACTATATTTGGTTTTGGTTGAGTGACATGCTTTGTGACACCAATTAGTGTGTTTTGGTTGAGTGACATGCTTTGTGACACCAATTAGAGTGTTTTGGTTGAGTTACATGCTTTGGTACATCAATAAGTATGTTTTGGTTGAGTGACAAAAAAGTGTTAATGCCTTTTTTTTTGTGTAACTATATTTGGTTTTGGTTGAGTGACATGCTTTGTGACACCAGTAAGTGTGTTTTGGTTGAGTGACATGCTTTGTGACACCAGTAAGTGTGTTTTGGTTGAGTGACATGCTTTGTGACACCAATTAGTGTGTTTTGGTTGAGTGACATGCTTTGTGACACCAATAAATATGTTTGAGTGACATGCTTTGTGACACCAATAAATATGTTTTGGTTGAATGACATGCTTTGGTACACAAATAAGTGTGTTTTGGTTGAGTGACATGCTTTGTGACACCAGTAAGTGTGTTTTGGTTGAGTGACATGCTTTGTGACACCAATTAGTGTGTTTTGGTTGAGTTACATGCTTTGGTACATCAATAAGTATGTTTTGGTTGAGTGACATGCTTTGTGACACCAATAAATATGTTTGAGTGACATGCTTTGTGACACCAATAAATATGTTTGAGTGACATGCTTTGTGACACCAATAAGGGTGTTTTGGTTGAGGGACATGCTTTGTGACACCAATAAGTATGTTTTTGTTGAGTGACATGCTTTGTGACACCAATAAATATGTTTTGGTTGAGTGACATGCTTTGGTACACCAATAAGTATGTTTTGGTTGAGTGACAAAAAAGTGTTAATGCCTTTTTTTTTGTGTAACTATATTTGGTTTTGGTTGAGTGACATGCTTTGTGACACCAGTAAGTGTGTTTTGGTTGAGTGACATGCTTTGTGACACCAATTAGTGTGTTTTGGTTGAGTGACATGCTTTGTGACACCAATAAGGGTGTTTTGGTTGAGGGACATGCTTTGTGACACCAATAAGTATGTTTTGGTTGAATGTCATGCTTTGGTACACCAATAAGTGTGATTTGGTTGAATGACATGCTTTGTCACACCAATAAGTATGTTTTGGTTGAATGATATGCTTTGTGACACCAATAACTATGTTTTGGTTGTGTGACATGTTTTGTGACACCAATAAGTGTGTTTTGGTTGGGGGACATGCTTTGTGACACCAATAAGTATGTTTTGGTTGAATGTCATGCTTTGGTACACCAATAAGTGTGATTTGGTTGAATGACATGCTTTGTGACACCAATAAGTATGTTTTGGTTGAATGACATGCTTTGGTACACCAATAAGTGTGTTTTGGTTGAGTGACATGCTTTGTGACACCAATAAGTATGTTTTGGTTGAATGACATGCTTTGGTACACCAATAAGTGTGTTTTGGTTGAGTGACATGCTTTGTGACACCAATAAGTATGTTTTGGTTGAATGTCATGCTTTGGTACACCAATAAGTGTGTTTTGGTTGAGTGACATGCTTTGTGACACCAATAAGTATGTTTATTTAACTGTCTTATTATGTCTATATTTTGGTTGTAGGAACCCGCCAGGCTTTGCATTCCTTGTTTTCAAGTGTTCTGATGATGCAGAGCGAGCTGTGAGAAAGCTCCACGGAAGGTTTGTATATCTGTTATGTAAAACAACTCACTATCAACTTAACTAAAATACTGTAAGTTTGAAGAAAACCTAACAAAAAACACATGACATGATAGAGAATTGAACAATGGTTTTATCTGATCAACTTATGGATAACGCATACCTGCCAAGTTCTACGCAGTGACAGATAAAGAGTCTTTAAGATACACAAAATGCAGGTTAAACCTACAAATTTAGGTCATTTCAGTATGGAAACATTCCATAGTTACCTGAAACCAGTAGTAATGGCATTAATGCTAATATTTTTAAAGATTACAATATTCCTTCAGACAAGACCTAATAGTATATTAAAATGCAATCTTTAAAGCTCAATAGGTGTCTGCATGTAGTAGATTCCAAAACATATTCTAGAAACTGCAGAGGTTATATATGAAGGTCATTTGTAGGTCGACTTGCACAAATGGGGATGACTTTGAGTGGTATGATGATGTATAATTTATCGTATTTCCCATCTGCTATGTAGCGCCTTCCCCAAGTCTATAACATTGATATTGTATCATAGCATTTTTTTCTTGATTGTATATCTGTTTAAATTCGCAGCATATAGACAAAGGTGTAGCCGAGAAGTGAAGCATCAATATCAAACATTGAGTTTTCTTGTGTATAATTGTAAGGTAGGATAAAGCATACATTGAAAACAAGGAAGATGAATTGATTTTAATGGGAAGCTCAATCAGACTGGTCCTTAGATGTATCATTGGAAGGTAACAGCTGAAGCAAGCTTTAAGAATGAATGCTTTTATCTGGCAAGATGTTTGTATTCACTTGATCTGTTAAAAGTCTGATGGCACACATGGTTATCCAACACTGGACACCAACACCATCTATGTTTGTACTACAAGTCATTAATTTGTTGTCTCTAGTGTCCTTAAGCAAAATGTCAAATTAAAGTCAAGGACAGTTTTAGAAGTTCTATTTAAGGAGTATTGATAAGTCTGGCATCACAAAGCACCGCTATTTACACTGCTAACATGAATTTTCTTCATACATTATTGCCTATTGATTGCTGTGAGGCCTGTGCTGGACAAACAGAACACACTGTTAACTGTACTGGACAAACAGGACAGACTGTTTTATAAATCCTCAGTACAGAGCTGGGTGATCACTGTAGAACACAAGAGGACAAACAGGACAGACTGTTAAGTGTACTGGACAAACAGGGCAGACTGTTAAATATACTGGACAAACTGGAAAGACTGTTAAATGTACTAGACAAACAGGACAGACTGTAAGTGTACTGGACAAACAGGACAGACTGTTAAATGTACTGGACAAACAGGACAGACTGTTAAATATGCTGGACAAACAGGACAGACTGTTAAATGTACTGGACAAACAGGACAGACTGTTAAATGTACTGGACAAACAGGACAGACTGTTAAATGTACTGGACAAACAGGACAGACTGTTAAATGTACTGGACAAACAGGACAGACAGTTAACTGTACTGGACAGACATGACAGACAGTTAGATGTACTAGACAAAAAGGAGAGACTGGTAAATGTACTGGACAAATAGGACAGACTGTTATTCAAATCCTCAGTACAGAGCTGGGTGATCACTGTAGAACACAAGAGGACAAACAGGACAGACTGTTAAATGTACTGGACAAACAGGAGAGACTGTTAAATATACTGGACAAACAGGACAGACTGTTAAATATACTGGACAAACAGGACAGACTGTTATACAAATCTTCAGTACTGAGCTGGGTGATCACTGTATAACACAGGAGGACAAACAGGACAGACTGTTAAATGTACTGGACATACAGGACAGACTATTATACAAATCCTCAGTACTGAGCTGGGTGATCACTGTATAACACAGGAGGACAAACAGGACAGACTGTTAAATATACTGGACAGACAGGACAGACTGTTAAATGTACTGGACAGACAGGACAGACTGTTAAATGTACTGGACAGACAGGACAGACTGTTAAATGTACTGGACAAACAGGACAGACTGTTAAATGTACTGGACAAACAGGACAGACTGTTAAATGTACTGGACAGATAGGACAGACTGTTAAATGTACTTGACAAACAGGACAGACTGTTAAATGTACTGGACAAACAGGACAGACTGTTATACAAATCCTCAGTACTGAGCTGGGTGATCACTGTAGAACACAGGAGGAGGACAAACAGGACAAACTGTTAAACATACTGGACAAACAGGAAAGACTGTTAAATATACTGGACAAACAGGACAGACTGTTAAATGTACTGGACAAACAGGACAGACTTATATAAATCTTCAGTACAGAGCTGGGTGATAACTGTAAAACACAGGAGGAGGACAAACAGGACAGACTGTTATATGTACTGGACAAACAGGACAGACTTATACAAATCCTCAGTACAGAGCTGGGTGATCACTTTAGAACACAAGAGGACAAACAGGACAGACTGTTAAATGTACTGGACAGACAGGACAGACTGTTATATGTACTGGACAGATAGGACAGACTGTTAAATGTACTGGACAAACAGGACAGACTGTTAAATGTACTGAACAGACAGGACAGACTGTTATATGTACTGGACAGACAGGACAGACTGTTATATGTACTGGACAGGCAGGACAGACTGTTAAATGTACTGGACAAACAGGGCAGACTGTTAAATGTACTGGACAGACAGGACAGACTGTTAAATGTACTGGACAAACAGGACAGACTGTTATATAAATCCTCAGTACAGAGCTGGGTGATCACTGTTACATTGTAGAACATAGGAGGAGGGTTTACCTAGGTAAAGGGCATAGCAGATACAGAACGCCTGAGAAAGGCAAAATATTGATTTCACATTAATCAATTGATTTTGTTGTGAATACCAGTACATCTATATTGCATTGTTACTCTGTATATATACATATTGCTGATTGTCACAGTATTAAAGAAACCCTGTTGATCTCAAGCTGATCAATAATGGTGAATTAAGACCTCTGTTTGACTCTATTTTCACTGCCTATGAAAGGTATACACACATGTCAATTTCCACATAAAAACACAATATTGATCTGGCAGTAAATATCCCGGTGTGTTGAACAAGTTTAACATGTGTTATATATATGTTTCATGCAAAAAAGTGTTCGTGTCATATATGCTGACTGAATTTTTTATGATTGCCCTAAGAAGCTGACACACTTAGCAGGGTTCTCACGACATCCTGCTCCCTTGGTACTTTTTGATAATGAACAAATTCCATGATAGATATTATTTTGTATATTGAGCAAGGTGAAAAAAGTACATTTGAGGGTGTTTTTCTATTGATGATAATGATGAGTTATCGTGTTAGGATAGCTTTTCATTACACCTTTAACGAGATATTGGACTGATGCAAAAGTCAGGTGTGTAATTAATATGTAATATTTAGTGGCCAGTATACAATTGACAAGGAATCTTGGCATATTAAAAATGGTTATTTTTGTCCTGAATACTTACTTTTCTCAGTTAATTAAAAAAAATCTTACGAAATTTATATTGTATATGTACATGTTTTGAGGATGAAATTTTGAAGCATGTTGAATTGTCCAATATGAAGGACGAATAATTATCTTCATTATGAGAATCATATATCGTTCTCTGATGATATGGAAATTAAAACTAGAAGGAGAAACATTTATTTGAAAAGAATTCTTCAATAATGCCGAGCCGTGTGTGTGACTTGTTAGCCCTTTGGGAAAGCATTTGAGGTAGTGATCTCAAAAATGTTTACATGAGATGTATCTGTGGCAGACAAGTGGGTTTGATGGTAGATTAATTCCTATTTATATCATACCATGTAAAGGTGTGATGTATTGTGTAATGTACAAAATACCCCAGGAAGCCACTGACCTATAACCAAAAAACAACGACCATGAACATGCTACCATACAACCATGATCTTACAGCCATACAACCATGATTTTACAGCCATACATCCATGAACATGCTACTATACAACCATGATCTTACATCCATACAACTATGATCTTACAGCCATACAACCATGTACATGCTACTATACAACCATGAACTTACAGCCATACATCCATGAACATGCTACCATACAACCATGATCTTACAGCCAGACAACCATGAACATGAACATGCTACCATGCAATCATGATCTTACAGCCATATAATCATGAACATGAACATGCTACTATACAACCATGATCTTACATCCATACAACTATGATCTTACCGCCATACAACCATGTACATGCTACTATACAACCATGAACTTACAGCCATACATCCATGAACATGCTACCATACAACCATGATCTTACAGCCAGACAACCATGAACATGAACATGCTACCATGCAACCATGATCTTACAGCCATACAACCATGAACATGCTACCATACAACCATGATCTTACAGCCATACAACCATGATCTTATAGCCATACAACCATGATCTTACAGCCATACAACCATGAACATGAACATGCTACCATGCAATCATGATCTTACAGCCATATAATCATGAACATGAACATGCTACTATACAACCATGATCTTACATCCATACAACTATGATCTTACAGCCATACAACCATGTACATGCTACTATACAACCATGAACTTACAGCCATACATCCATGAACATGCTACTATACAACCATGATCTTACAGCCATACAACCATGAACTTACAGCCATACATCCATGAACATGCTACCATACAACCATGATCTTACAGCCATACAACCATGATCTTACAGCCATACAACCATGAACATGAACATGCTACCATGCATCCATGATCTTACAGTCATACAACTATGATCTTACAGCCATACAACCATGAACATGCTACTATACAACCATGAACTTACAGCCATACATCCATGAACACGCTACTATACAACCATGAACTTAACGCCATACATCCATGAACATACAACCCAAGTGATCATAAACATTCCATGAAAAAAAGTCCTCCATTGTGACCATCAAATA